GAACAGTACTATATGCAGAGGAGATGAACGAAGAATGCCCATTCAGGTTTGTCAGAGCAAAAAACGTGAACTTGGACAAACATGCCTGCAGTTTGTCTGAAGATTTCGATTTTTATACACCTTTTTTTGATCGCCTACGTACGTGGCCATGTTTATGCCATATTGCCATGTGAAGGTGTGAACCCTTGCAAGCACCCATGGGCGTCAGGCTATATCCTAGTCCTAAATCCTAATAGTATCTGAGCTTATCATTGGGAGTTCGCACTGGTAATTTTGGCATCAAGCATGTATGCACTAGATTAATTGCTGCACTAATCTATATTACCTAGTCCTACCAAGTAAAGTTACTCGCGGCTAGTCCTACTATTGATTCTTGTATACTCCTAGTCCTACATGATTTACATAGCCGACAGAAAAATCTGGGGATAGTCACTTTGCCTGATGGTGCAATAGTGGCTTCAATCTTCAGCCTACTCTGCTGGCGCATTACAATTTACAATTGTGAGAACGGTTATGCCTTTTAGAGCAAGTTTAATAGTATAGTCCACTGCTAACTCCAAATCATCTATAGCTAACGTAATAGCTAATTCATATAATAGTTGCTTACTATACTATTAATACATGGTCCCACCTGTCATACACACATTACATCTTGGAGTCCGTGCTGCAGCTGGCTACAGATCTGTATTATAGTTAGTTTATAGCCTGCTATTGTACCTGCTCTTACAACATCGACCGGCTCCGATTTTTCGGAGATTATCCAATGAACGAGAGGTTCTTAACCGAAGAATGCAACCTTCGAATCTTGCGCTACGTCGGAAAGGTGCGAGAGGCATCCACGAACATGGTTCACACTTTAGAACGATTGGTTGTCATTCGGTCTCTTTTTCGTTTCTCGCATTAATCTACCATGCATGCAACTTGATCAACAGTTCAAGAACATAAACAAAGTGGTTTACTTTAGAGCATTTGAGCAAACTGTATCGCGTAGTCCGTGCATTTGACCATGTCTATCCTGGCACGTAAAAAAAACATAAACCTGCACGCCAAGTCATGTCATGCATGTACACTTCGTGCATGAATCACACGAGAGACAGCCCACGACGCGCAGCCACGAAGCATGGCCATCCACGATAACGTACCGGCGTGTAATCGAATTCGTGAAGCATATGTCTACATGATCACATGGTCGGTATGGTCCCTTCACACCTGCGAAATTCGTGGCCCATATAGCTTCTGCGAGCCATGTGGCAAGTATCAAAGTTCGCCGATTTCTCGTTTAAAAAAATGCTCGGTGATTTTTATTGTTTTTTTTTCTTTTGCTGCGATTAACTGGACTTGTTCCTGCAGACACACGGGCAGTTGGTGTCTCCTTGTGCGTGACGCGCGGGTCCGACGAGGCGATGCGACGAGCACTTGCATGTGCGGGGCTGATCGCCCTGATTTGTATGTGTTAACCGCCGTCGTGGCTCGTGGCCGGTTATGGTGGGCTCACCTTCCTCTCGCCGCCTTTTGTCTCCTTTTCCGGTTCTCTCCTCTGTCGTTGGGCAAAAGCTATCAACGATTCTAACTGCCAAGGAGGAGTCGCCTATAAGTACCTGAGCCCGGGAGCACCGCTCTCTTCACAACCAAGCAACCATCGATTCGATCCTAGCTTAAGCCGAGTGAAGTAGCTAGCAGGACATTGTTGGTAGTGTGATCTTCTCCCTGTTTTGCAACAATGGCCTCACGCAGTAGTGCCCTGCTCCTCCTCTTCTCGGCCTTCTGCTTCCTCGCCCGGCGAGCCGCCGCCGACTACGGCTCCTGGCAGAGCGCCCACGCCACGTTCTACGGCGGCGGCGATGCGTCCGGCACGATGGGTACGTGTGCACTGCTCCTCGTAACACTTTGTTTTTTTTTCTTTTGGACGCATTGACAAAACCGGGAGTAATCTGACTCGTGTCGTGTTGTTTGTGTACATGAAAAGGCGGGGCGTGTGGGTATGGGAACCTGTACAGCACCGGGTACGGCACCAACACGGCGGCGCTGAGCACGGTGCTGTTCAACGACGGCGCGGCGTGCGGGTCGTGCTACGAGCTGCGGTGCGACAACGATGGGCAGTGGTGCCTGCCGGGCAGCGTCACCGTCACCGCCACCAACCTGTGCCCGCCGAACTACGCGCTCCCCAACGACGACGGCGGCTGGTGCAACCCGCCGCGCCCCCACTTCGACATGGCCGAGCCGGCCTTCCTCCAGATCGGCGTGTACCGCGCCGGCATCGTGCCCGTCTCCTACAGAAGGTGAGCTCTACTTGGGTCAATGGGTCACGAGTGAGTGGCAAACTGTTTGCAACTTGAAGCCATGGGCCCCCCGTGCGGTGTGTCGGCTTCGATGGGCCGATCCCCAATCGGCTGATCAGGCCATGTGTAGGTGGGCCACCCGGCAGATTTGGTTTGTCCACGATCTGTCCGTGTCGGCTGTAGGCAAAGCCATGCACGCACGACTTGACACCGACGTGGACTTGACTTCGCTGTCCCGGAATTACTTTACGCATCCCATTTCACATCCATATGATTAATCGTTGCAACAAATAGTAACAAATTACAGTTAATTCTACTGTTTCACTGAACTTTGCTTTTTTTTTTTGCTGGTGTGTTGCAGGGTGCCGTGCGTGAAGAAGGGCGGGATCAGGTTCACCATCAACGGGCACTCCTACTTCAACCTGGTTCTTGTGACCAACGTGGCCGGCCCAGGCGACGTGCAGTCCGTGTCGATCAAGGGGTCCAGCACCGGGTGGCAGCCCATGTCCCGCAACTGGGGCCAGAACTGGCAGAGCAACTCCTACCTCGACGGCCAGAGCCTCTCCTTCCAGGTCGCCGTCAGCGACGGCCGCACCGTCACCAGCAACAACGTCGTGCCGGCCGGCTGGCAGTTCGGCCAGACCTTCGAGGGCGGCCAGTTCTGATCGAGTACTCGGCTAATTCCGTTTTTCAGTTCACTTTTCTGCAGAAATGTCAGTGTGAGATTGAGATTGAGGTGGAGGAGGAGGGAGGCCTCTTTGCTATAGTAAAAGAGAAGAGGCTTTGGCTATTCTGAGGCTGCTTATTAATTAGCACCCGCTTAGGCCTTTGCTTTCTCCCATAGGTCCAGTAGACATAAATAAGTTATCATGGAGTTGGGCATTTTTTTTTTCTGCATTGTTGTAGCCTTGGTTTAAAATTTGGCAAGGCAATTTAAGGATTATATTGTAGAACAGCAGGGAGGTGGTGTCTTGTAACTTTTGTTGTTACATTGTAACCCCCCGAATCAGGCCACATGGGCCGGAGGAGTTTGTGGGGGAGCACCGGAGCACTCTTGTGCTTTTGGGACCATGAACTATGCTAGTTTATGGGTCTATGTATATGATATGTTTGTGATTTGATTATACTTTCTTTTGTCGCCTTATCAAGTACCAATCATTATTAAGTACTGTACGTAGTCTCTGAGTGATAATTTTGAAATCTTTGTGAGCGCATATTTTAATCGAAGTTGAAGGCTATTTTTGTTCGCCATTTTTTGTTGGATTGTCAGGATGATTTGTAGGCAAAAGTTCACAAGAGAATTTATATGTTGCTTCTTCAAAGTTCAAAACGATTCATGAGTGAGAAGAAAATGATTTGTGACAAAGCTTTGTGCCTTTGTCTGTTTTCAGTTCGACGTACGAAACAAATAAAACGGGCCCATATCTATTCCACCGCAGAATTCCAGCTTGAACTATCAGGCCATTACAAATTCGGCCCACTAGAGCATGTATTCTCAAAAGCAAAAGCTGGCCATATCTATGCTACCGCAAAATTCCGGCCTGGACTTTCAACCCATTAGGAATCCGGAATACTAAAGTAGTAGTACGAAGTAGTATTCTTCAAAAAAAAAATTTCTTTGATATGAAGTTTGTTTTGTATTGCAAAATGTGGCTTGACTATCCAGTATAAGTGTATAACTATTCTGTTCACGTATGCTGATAAAACACCAGGTAGACTGTTCAACTGATTGGTCTCACACCCGACCTAACGGCTAACGCAAGAACTTTATGCAGACTGGAATACTGGATTCATGAGTACTAAATGAGTATGTAATTAAGGGCAACAAAGTTTTTTTTATCTGTTACAAACATCTATTAATTTTTTAGGTATGATGGGTTCATCATTGACTGTTTCAAGAGTAGGCTAAAGAGCTGCCAAAGTGACAAATTGTCGTTGCAGTTCGGCCGTTGTGATGACAACGATGGCGATATCCGCTAAATTGGCCTGTGCACGGCGCGGGAATCTGCATGTCTGGTAGGTCGTCACCGTCATCAGAAATCGTTAACTTGTCTCTCCTTATGCCAAATGCTAATTTTTCAAGCCTAAAATTGCCGGGGCGGACGGTGAAATCAAAGACGAACTTGAATTTTTAGCCGCATCGTTTGACAGTAAGCCAAGCATTCAAGTTAAGTTAGATGGACTTTTTGATGGATCGATGATCGACCAACAGACTGACGTAGCTCTGTTCACTCCACCAAACTCCTTCGATTGATCAAATGACTGTTTGATTATGGAGTAGAAACTGTATATGCGTAGCATCCGACAATAAGCAAGCCAGTGAAGTCCATGAATCTGCAGTGCGGATTTGGCCGCATTCTGAAGAACTGGACGAGAAATGCTGACACCGCCTGAGACCGAGAGGCATCTGTGTCTGGCCAGAGTTGGTTGAGCCCGAACAAATCCACCAACATTTTAAGCAAGACAACGAGCAACCACCCACCACCGCACGGAGGGAGGAGGATTTCTGCCTCTCGTCGCATTCGTCCTCTCTCCCTCTCTCGGTTCTCGCGGTGGTGGCCACGGGCGCAGGTGAGGGGATGGTGGACGGCAGGATGGCCGGCACGGCGGCGGCGCTGGGCCTGTCGGTGGTGTCGTCGGTGTCGATCGTCGTCTGCAACAAGGCGCTCATGAGCACACTCGGCTTCGTGTTCGGTGAGCCCTGAACTTATCCGAGTTATCTCGCGTACAGTCTGTTTCTGTTGGACGCCATTGTTCGAGATGCCAGGAACATCTTAGCGGTTTATACTGCCTTTAATCGATGCGTAGCAGAGTCCCCGTTGTTCCCGTCTTGTGCATCGCCTGCGATAATGATTTCTGATTAAGCTCAGTGACGGAGAATGCTTTGGCCTGCGTAGAAGACAGGAGGCGGCGGTGTACGGCTTGCAAACGAGGAGTAATTTGTGAAAAAAAAACTTTTATATACATGTTCTTAGCGAACTAAAAGCAAATGCTGAAAAATAAAGTTCGATAAAAATACACCAAAATCAGCTTCAAATTTAAAGTTGAAAATTTAAATTTTGGCTGATAAATATAAGCATAAGCGAAAAGATGAAACAAATAGTTTACGCAAGTACCTCCTACAAGTACACTGCAGTTTATGTGTCACTCGAATGGTTATAAAAAAATAAAAAAATATTAAGAATATATAAATAATATGTGATATATTATTTCACAAATATATATGTTTAAATTTAAATTCAAAATTAAATGGACGGGAAGTGTCCATCCATTTTTTTGCAAAACACTGCCTGCTGTTAGGATTGGTGAGTGGCGATTGGGAGTTTTGCGCGAAAAAAAAAAACTCCTATGATGACCGTTTTATTGATAGCGGTCTTTTTGTGTAGTCCGCTTCCCCTTCTGTCTTCGCTAGTACGGTAGGAGTAGGACCCTGTCAAAACCACGCCGCCGGCGGCGGCGGCGGCGGCCGGAGAGCAACATGGCCGCGTGTTCGCTGCAGAGCATCCCGCCCGGATGGCGTTCCGGGGACCGGGGATATCATTACGCTCCTCAGCCTCCGGTCTCCTCTGCGCCGTGCTCCTCAGCCGCCGGTGGCGCCGACTGGTCGCCTTCGCCCCAGCCCTCGGTCCTCGTTCCACCGGAGATCTCCCCGCCTCGCGCTCGCCTACCTCGGTTCTATCGATCACCCTCTTGAACCTACCTCGCTCGCCTACTTTGCGCTTAAAATTCCGCGCACATATCTGGTCTGTTTGCTCTTTGCAGAGATCTTGGTAAGTAGATTTCGAGTCTACGAACATCTTATTCAATTCCCGCAAAAAAATCCTTTAAATTCCTCCATTCCAAGGGAGGCCTAATACTATTGTTCTATTTAATGCTAGCATCTAGCACTCTGTCCGCATACATTGGACTGCGGCAATACGAGCTTAGAGCAACGCAAATGACTAGATAAGTATGCACTCTAGGTGTTCTTTGAATTGCCTCAGTGCAGACTTGATGACCATTTTCTGAACATCTCTGCTCTGCTGCATATGTGAGTCAAATTCATGGCTCCATGGGACAATTGGAAATTGCACAACGTTACTGCTATCCTATTCATGTATTTGTTGAACAAAAATGACATCCTTCGAAAATTCAGGAAACACAAGTTGCCTGATGGACACGGTTCATTAATAAGGCACACAAATTCTATACTACTTTATGAGTACAATATGACGAACAATACCACCTGAGAAAACTAACTGTTTCCTAAGCTATATAACCATGCAAAAATCACAGCACTCTCCTAATTTCTTTCAGCTACTACGCTGACAAGCTGGCATCTCCTGGTGACATTTTGTTCCCTTCATGTGGCTCTTCAGATGAAGCTTTTCGAGAACAAAGATTTAGACCCCAAGACAATCATTGGATTTGGAATACTAAATGGCATATCTATTGGGTTGCTTAATCTGAGCCTTGGATTCAACTCTATTGGCTTTTATCAGGTTGGTTTACTCTTCAGAAATCAGGCCAATCTTGCATTTGTTTATTTTTCCTATTTTGAGATGAACATATTCATCTTCAGCAAACGACACCTGTTGGAAACTTTAAAACTTAAATTCTTGCTGGAAATTTAGTAGTTGACCTTGATTCATGCCCAATCTGAAAATCAACATGCACACAATATGTTGCCCTGATTTTATTGGGGATGGAATGACACAATTCAACAGTCTCTAGTTTCAGCCAATTCATGTTCTTTGTCTACAGACCTAACTGTGCTTGTGTAATTAGTCTACTGCTTTGTCTAAGCTATCTCACTCTATCAAATGCATCAGGTAACCAAGCTGGCAATAATTCCATGCACTGTATCTTTGGAGACTATATTGTTCAGGAAAACATTCAGGTCTGATCCAAATTTTGCCTTGTCTTATGTAAAAAAAAAAAATTTGCCTTGTCAATTCACGCTGAAAAAAACCATTAACTACTAAATATATGATGATTGTTGGTATCCTTGTGAATACAAGCATGGTACTTGAATATTTGAATTCCTCAATACCTGTGGGTCTTGCAATCCTAATGTCATACTCCCATAAAACAATAACTTGTAGTACTATCATAAATTGAATAGACTATAACAATATTTTCACTTCATGCAGCCGGAGAATCCAAATGGCACTGGCAGTTCTTTTGTTTGGTGTAGGTGTTGCAACAGTGACAGACCTGCAACTGAATAGACTGGGATCGCTGCTGTCTCTATTTGCTGTACTCACCACGTGCATTTCACAAATTGTATCCTCTAAACAAAGTATACATTCAATATTATTTTCTTTGCACTAAAATAATGACACTTGATTCTTTGTTTTTAATAGATCAATAATCAGACATATGCATTATAGAAAAAATGGCTTTTGGTGTTAGCTCATATCAAATATATATTAATTTACCAGATAAATAGTTTCTTATATCTATTTTGATATGCATTCTCTTGCACCTAAAGTGGATGATAACTTTTAACATACTCTGAAACTCTGATAGTTTCTACGACCTCCGTCCCAAAATATGGCAACTTTTGGCTATGATGTATCCAGATTCATAGCTAAAAATGCTTACATTTTGGGACGGAGGGAGTAGGTGTTTCTCAAATTTAAGTAGCTGATCTGATACACGTTGTTTTTTTTCTCTCCATTTTTTTGTATCAGCTATAAATATGTGGATCCAACGTAGTATATTGATTTAACATCATATCCTTCTTCTGCTATCACTATTTCCTTCCCCATACAGCTTAACCAATTTTGCTAGATGACAAACTTTATCCAGAAGAAATTCAAAGTCTCTTCAACTCAACTGCTCTACCAATCTTGTCCATACCAAGCGCTGACTCTTTTCATCATTGGTCCATTTCTTGATGGTTTTCTTACTAACCAGAATGTATTTGCCTTCAAGTACACGAGTGAAATCCTTGTGAGCATTCCCTGGCTCGATGTTCCCTTTCTTATTTGTCTTCTATCCATTATACAGTAATATATCTGTTTGTTATCTTTTTGTCAGGTATTCATCGTTCTTTCCTGTCTAATATCTGTCTCGGTAAACTTCAGTACATTTCTTGTGATCGGGAAAACATCTCCTGTAACATACCAAGTAGTAGGCCACTTAAAAACCTGTATCATCCTCGGTTTTGGATATGTTTTATTTAACGACCCATTTAGTTGGAGGAACATATTAGGGATTCTTCTTGCCTTGTTAGGAATGATCCTGTATTCTTTCTTTTGCTTGATGGAGAATAAACAGAAGGCCCCGGAATTGTCAGCTCCATTTTTCCACACTAAGGTATCAGATAGCACTTCTTTTCTGAAGCCTTAATGCTACATTTGCGACTTGCAGCTATTTTTTTCATATCTCGTCCTTGCAACTTTAGCTGACCCGTTATTTTCTTTCACTAACTTACTTTTTCGTGAATGTGCAAAAGGATTACACGTCAATATATTAGAACTTTCACTAACTTACTATAATTCCTTGCTTCTCACCCATCGGTAATCACCCTTGCTTATCAACCTGGCAGGTGAAAGGAGGTGAAGCAGGGACTCTTCTCCTAGTACAGAACGGGTCAGCTAAAGTTGCAGATGGTGTTGTGACTGAGGGCCCAATGTGGAGGTCAAACAGAGACTTGGACGCATGATCATCCCGCTCCTGCAGAAGGGATCAAGGGACTGACATATGGTCTGAAACCGGTGTAATTTTCATCGGCATTTTGCTCCAGTTCACTCCAGCTAGCTAGTTCTGAAGGCTCCTTGCTCTGCGTCTTGTACATACATATTCGGCACCTATTTTTGCTACGACTGTACATAACATGTCCACGGCTGGAATTAAACAAACATTTGCATTCATACTATTATATGAAGATTTCATGTCTGTTATTTACCCGAAGAGTAAAGTGCACAATGCGTTTGTTGGTTGGGGATGGGAACTAATCCCTTCGACATGCAAAACAGAACGAAATATTAACGCACGATTAATTAAAGTACAAGTTCCTTTTCTTTTTAAAAATGGATTTATATGATTTTTAAAAACAACTTTCGTATAGAAAGTTTCACCAAAAGCACACCGTTTAGTATTTTGGAAAGCGTGTAGGTCGAAACAAAAATGATGAATTCACTTGTAGACTTTTAAATGGTTAGACTATGATGAAGAAATATTGCATGCTTATATTTAGGATGAAGGGAGCCACTTTGATAATACAAAATCCATTCAAGTATTTACCAAACTTTTGTACAAAAGACAAAAGTGTTCACAGATCTGCTACGCATTTGCAAACGGAGGTAGTTGTAGTAGTACGTTACGTCGGCTGTTCTGTTCCCTTCTCTGATATAAAAGCGTGTAGGGTGTTGCAAAGCGGAAAGTGGCAAATACGCTTTCGCTTATGAACCCCGTGGGCCATGGCCCTTATATATTCCTACCTGACAACTTAGACCGTCGATCCAACACACGAACGGCCAGGATGCTTTGCCGCTTCTCCCGGTTCTAGTATAAAAGGCCACTCGTGGCGCAAACCCTAGTAGAGGAGAGATTACCTTGGAGGCTTCTGAGCTCGAACCCCCCGCCGCCGCCGCCGTCGCCTCCTCCATCCGCCGCCATGGTAAGGCCTTGCTTCCCTATGCTTAACGCCTAGATTGCTTTGCGGGATTCAGCGCTGAACTGACCTCTCTTCTTGCTGCATCGGCGCAGACCTTCAAGCGCCGCAATGGCGGCCGCAACAAGCACGGTCGCGGCCACGTCAAGTACATCCGCTGCTCCAACTGCGCCAAGTGCTGCCCCAAGGTAAGGCGAAGCGAATCCCCTTTTGCCCTCTCTCGTTGCGCGCGAGGCACCCACTGGATCTCTGTGTTGATTTGGGAATCTTTGCTTTGGGTGCGGGACAGGACAAGGCGATCAAGAGGTTTCAGGTGAGGAACATCGTGGAGCAGGCCGCCATCAGGGACGTCCAGGAGGCGTGCGTGCACGATGGTGCGTTTCCTCTCCCCCGCTTTTGGTTTCTTTTGCTGAATTTGTATGTGATGCGAAATCGTAGTAGAGGTTGGATTTGTGATCGCCGATAACACACTGGCGATTTGCATACTGCTGGAAATTTTTATTCTATCTTGATATTGTTGAATTGATGGCATACAATACAACTATCTCGTTGCAGGATACGTTCTCCCCAAGCTTTACGCCAAGGTGCATCACTGTGTGTCCTGTGCAATCCATGCTCACATCGTCCGTGTCCGCTCCCGTGAGAACCGGAGGGACCGCAGGCCTCCGGAACGCTTCCGCCGCAGGGTACCTGATCCCCGCCTCTTAACTATTATATCTAGTGCTTAATTGATAGTGTAATTAGTATATCATGATCGGAACGATTTCCTTTATCTGTTACTGCAGATTTAAGAAACAAAGTCTGATATACTAATAGACGTAATGATTTTGCACAGTATTTGTAGATATCTCTTATCTGCACATATGGTCTAATATCTTTCAAGCACGCTGAAAAATTAAAATTCTTTAGTGTGCTGATTCTATGAAGTTTACCATTTAGCTTTTAGTCAAATGTACCGGCATACTTAAGGAAGTATACTCATTCAGCCAGCTTCTATAATCTGAAATCCACTGTTCTTTTTTGGAACTGCATGTCTTCCCTGATGGCAAATACTACATGTTGCCTGTGGGATAAACAGGTCCTTGAGATTCACAGCATCATTTTCACAATTGGCTGATGGTTTATGTGTAACATTTATGTTGGGATATGTATGATATCCTACAAAAAAGCCAGCTACCAAAATTTTGTTAGGGCCTCAATCCAAAATGGCCCTAACATCAAGTAATCAATTTTCATCGAATTCAGTAGATTGTAAGCTAGCTAGTCTGTTGTTCTTTAAGACAACCTTAATTTGTGTTAACCTGTTCTAATTATGGAATGCTGATTGTTTTGTGCCAATGCTTACAGTATCTAGCTTCTTGCTAGTGGGTTTGTGTCCCTCTTTGTTGCATCCAGAATTCAGATGCGTTTGTGATAGTATAGTAGTATCAAAGTGGCTGGCCTATGTATCAAAACCACATTAAGATATCTGCAAATATGTCCACTCATCCTAGAAAGTGATTAAGAGGAGCGCATGGTGTAGTTGCGATTGATGTGTTTAGGCTGCTGTTATTGATGGGCTCTATTGTTTGTTATTTTGATCCATATTTTTTTGTTCTCAAGTCTATTTATTTTGGAGCGATCTTAATCGTGAGATTATATGTTTCTAAACTAGTTGCCGCTATTTTGCAGGAGGATAGGCCCCAAGGCCCTCGTCCAGGTGGTGGCGCTCCCGCTCCTGGTGGAGCTGCTGCTCCTGCCCCCAACGTTGCTCGCACCTGATTGTCTCCGGAGTGATAAACCTTTTTTCAGTCGTTTCCCTAAATCTAGCATGATACCAGGGTGTTGAACTTTATCTAGGACCAACCTGTTCTTTTTCAAATATCGGATCTGCTGTTACTGGTTTCATCTTTACTAAATGTGGTTTACCATTTATTCGATTCGTTCTGTTCCTACTCACGCCGTGTCAGACGTTATGTGCCGTGTGAGTTTTTCTGTTCCTGCTCATGCTTGTGAGAGCAACATCGTATGTTCTCCTAAATCCCGAGTATGTTACTTTTTCTTTATATTCAGCCAAGTGAAACACAATGGATGCTCAATGTACGTTCCTGACCAAAATCCAGAACTCTAAAGGCCATCTTTGTGCACGAAACTCTGCTGATCGGGCCAAACCGCTTGGCTTTTGGTTCAAGCTTTTTAAAAAACTGTAACTGAATTTTACATTTTTTGTCCAGATTTGTCTGGCTTATGTCAGTTTATCTCGCGGAATCCGACGATAGCGATGGATTGTGAATCTGATCCGGCCGTCCAACTTGAATCAGACACCATATAAGATGCCTTTTTGTGGGTGGGAAATCATTTCCATTTCCAATTTAGCCAAACATTGCCTCAGGCTGTGAGCCTGTGACCCCACCGGTCAGTCGGCCACCGCCACCTTTGCGCCATACTGCCTCCCATCTCTCTTGTCAAGTCGTCAGCCAGCCAGCCTGCCCCGTCGTGCCTCCACTTTCCCACCAATTTAACACGATTCCAAACCACGGACTCCATCTGGACCGTCCACCAGCGCATCCCACGGTCACCTCCCGTCCCCACGTTTTTCTTTACACCCACGCAACCACCACCCAACCTCAAGAGAGCACGTCGCGTCGCGGGCTCGCAGCCGAGTTGATCTGCCGATCGGCCGGCGGCATGACGGCGACGTCCAGGGCGCCGCGGCGGCCCCGCGTCCGCGCCCCCGCGCGCGCGCCGCCGCCGACCCCGATCCGGACGGCGCGCGGCGCGCGCTCCGCGGCGGCCGACGAGCTCGTCCTCGCCGAGTTCCTCGAGGCCTCCCTCCGCGTCCCGGACCTCGCCCTGCCGCCCAAGATGAGCAGCAGGCGCTCGTTCCGCTACCCCGCGCCGCCCCCGACCCCGGACGTCCTCGCGGGGGCCCTCCTGTCGGGCCCCGACCCGGACGCCGCGCGGACGGCTGTCGGCGCCGCCGCGGAGTCCGGCGCGTTCCGCGTGGGCGGCGCGGTCGATGCCGGCGAGGTGCGCGCGGCCGTGGAGGCGGCGGAGGCGGTGTTCCGGGCGCCCGAGGAGGTGAAGCGGGAGCTCGGGAGGTGGTTCCGGAGGAGGGATCGGGTGGCCGGTGAGGAGTTCTACTGGTTCCGGCCGGCGACGGCGAGCTCGGATGACGACCGGGTGCTCGACGCGGCGCTGCCCGGCTCGACGTACCAGGTGTTGAGGTATACACGTACGCCACATTCCGCCTGCGCTTTTTATGCCGCTATATGTAGTAAGTTTTGTCCTTTTCTCGCCTCGTCCACATCAAACGTAGGTGCATACTTGAAGAGAGTTTCAGAATTTGAGCGGTTTTAGAAGCCGATTTTGATCGGATAAAATACGTGCGCACTTAAAATTATGCAAAAGGATCAGTTTGGTCATACTTGCGTTTTTGTTAGCTCTATTGAACTACTCTCCACTGGACTGGACTGAAGAATATCTCACTTGCTACCGTTCTCTCGTCGATGTCAATTGGAATGAGCTGTAGTCTGTAGAGGGTACGGAACTGTGTACATCTGTTTTGAGTACCCCAGAGCCTCCGGTAACCGTTGCAACTTGCAAGGAATGGAAGGCCCATTTAGATGTAGAGAGCGAGCTAGAGAAAAAGGCTGGCACCTGAAATGTTGCAGGGGTACAGGCACAGCCCATGCAAGTATGCGACAAGAAATGTTGTGTGGTTTTCTTTTGAAGGCGTGGATGCTGTCTTGTGGAGTCATTGTCAAACTCTATACAACATGCCGTTCCATCACTTATTTTGTTCCAATTTTGATGTTTCGGAAGAAAATATCAGTGGAACAATAATAACCATAATATTCTGTTTCTTTAGCCTGAGTGGGATTTCCGCTGATTCTTAGCGCAGTTGTCAAAAACTCAAAATACACCAAATAAATATAGCCATGAATGTCGAAAATTCAATGGATATGCGAACGGGCCTGTTCTACAATAACCCCATTGGGACTTTCATAATGGAATTTTTGTGTACTTACATCAGATCCTTCACTTCCTAGGGAAAAGATGGAGATTGTTGCATCCAAAATGGAGGATCTTGCACAATGCGTTATGAGAGTTCTATCTGATAACGCCAGGAATCCTGAAGACTCTGCTCTGTCTACAGGGGCCGCGTCAATACTATGTCTGACACTATATAACTGTAACAAGTTGAAAACTCATTGGAGTGAGTTTGGCAGCACCAATCCTCCAAACTCGTACGCTTTGAGCATCCACCTCTCTGGACGAGACCAGGAAATTTGTCTGCGGAATCAGAGCGGGTCAACTTTCTTCAGTTTGCCGGCAGGCTCTATGCTTGTTACAATCGGCAAGCAGATTCAGGTATCAACAGAACCATTGCTTATTACCATATTACTTATTGTAATTCTAACGGAAACTTACTAAGAGTCCTTTTTTTTTCTACTCAGAACTTGCTAAATGAACTCTTAACCAATGAATTGAAATTTTCTTATACGCACTGAACATTTGCATCATCCTTTATATACTATCACCGTCTCATACTTTCATTGACATGGTGGTCCTTGAATCCTTACCCCAGGTCTGCCTTGTCAGTACATTTTCGTAAGTATTCGGTGCCATATATGGGATCAATCCAATCCATGTAGCCTTTGTAGGCTAAATTCTAATTTTCTATCCATCTTTCAAGACTGTAATATGAGCAATGGGCAGTGGTGCTTGCTGTATGCACAGTTTGATCCTTCCATGTGTGGAATGTGACACAGTTTTGCTATGTGCGAACTCAGGAATGGTCCAATGGGGAGTTCAAGAATGCTGTTGGTGAGATACTATTTGAGCTGACTGATGAACCAAACCCGTTCATTTCCCTGGAACTCTTGTACTCACCGGGTCACCTGCGTCTTCCTGATGTTGGTCGACACGCAAGATGCATTGACCATCCCAAGACTGTTTCTTTCAGGGACCAGATTTTGGTTGCTCTGGTTCTGCTCGTTTTCTTCTACCTCTTCTGGAGATAATTGTACCCAGGTTTGCTCATTAATCATGCCCTCCTTTGTCAAGGCAACGAAGCCGTGAGGTCAAGTGTCCTAGAAGGCTTATTTTTACAGCTTTTCTTGGACTTAGCTTCCTGTACTTCTTCATTAATCGTGGGGGAGAGCACCGCACGGGTGGCGGTGATGACAGGTAGTTTGAGTTTTTGCCTCTGTGGTTTCAAATTCAGATTTTGTTGCTGTTAAACAATACGTGATAGAGTGGATATCCAACTTGAAGAAAATGATACTGGGTGGATTTTGATTTGTTGATTGAGGCTTGATTTTGCTGTTGAGGTATTGTTTGGAGGTGAGATTTTTATTCTATTACGATGGAGGAGTTGTTTGTAAAGGTGCAAATGTTTTTATGCTTCACAAAAATATATTACAATATATGATATTATTGCCATGACCATGTGAAAATTGTTCATTGTATGCCCGCAAGTTGCAACTATTACCTTCATCCCAAAATATTGCTATGTAAAATAGGATGTGATATTATTTAGTACCACTATAAATCTGGATATGACATATTCGTATTACTAGATATATCATGGATCCTGTTTAGATTTGTAGTATCACATCTTGTCTTAGGTGACTGTAATTTGGGACGGAGGAAGTATCACAATTTTCGAATGACTATTATTGGCCGTACACTCGTACTTATTTATCACCTGAAATGATCGTTCTACGTCCTATGCTCAACTCGGTTGCTTTTCTCTACACAGTTTCTTCGTTGTGTCGGTCCAGCATGTGGTGACCACCCCTCCCCCCCACCCCACCCCAACCCACATACTCGACCTGTGGAGTTTCATGGTGATAGATCTCCAAAAGTACGTACCTGCCCTGTCATGTCCCGCGCTATTACAGTGTACTAGTGTACTACTGCTCTGCTCCTACTTGACCATGCTCAATCGATCAAAACCTGAGCTTTCTTTCAGTAAAAAAACGAAAACGGCGTTGCAGACTCGGACTAGTCCGCAGCAGTAAAACGCGGCACCGAAAAAAAGGATCACGAAGAGATCCACGAGAGGGGAGTAGGAACGGAACGGGGCCTCGTGACAAGAAAACGGGGGTCCAACTCGAATTGAACGGCCACCCGCAGCGCGACGCAACTGCAGGCACACAGTCGTCGCCAGTCGCCGCTCGTACTCTCTCCGCGACCATACGTGACGCCGTGACGGCCCCGTCCTTTTCTCGCCAAAAGGCAAAGCTCTGCACGTAGGTATAGCTCTTGCGTTTGGCAGCGACGACGACCAAAGAACGCAAAGTTGCAAACGCTGTGCTCTGCCTCTTCTTCTCGTCTTCTTCTTCACGGGTTGGTTACCTTGGGTTTCTGGCAGGTTGTAGGCACCTGAAAGATGGACGTGCGACCAACCAAAACGCCGTGCTCCGTGACCGCCTCCTCCTCCTCCTTCTTCGTCGTCGTCGTGTTGCCCGCGTGGTGGCGGTGTGCGTGAGAGAGTCTGGGGGCCTTCGCTGATAATAAATGTGGGCATCTCTCGGACGATTCTGCTGTTGTGCTGCTAGGACCAAGGTGGTGGCAACAAGGAGAAGGAGAAAGGGCTGTGGGGGGGACTGGTGGGCTACAGGCCGTGATGCCAATCTCTCAACCTCCACCGTCCTGTGCGCGATCGATGTTCTAGTGTACGGTACAGGCAGTGTCATCCTAATCATTGCAATCATTGGCGCCATCTTTGCTAGAGACTCCCAATCCTTCGTCTCGTTGTCGGTTCTATTGGCTTTTCCCTTTTGTCACGTCCTTCTGATCATCCCTGAATTTTTAGTAGTAATTTTTACTTACACCATGTCAAAGGCTCAAAGCCAGCATCTTGGCCTTGGGCATGACGCATACACGTACACCATTTTATTCGGTTCAGATCGATCCTTCCTGCCGTCGATCATGGTAAACTAGACCGTAGGTCGTGTCCTGCGATGAGTGAAACACTGCTGTCTTTGTCATTCTGGTACATTGGGCCATTGGGCTGCTTCGTGATGCCGTGCGCTTTTGCAGTACTACTAGTAAGCAGCACCGGCTGCCTGCTTTTGCCTGGTAAAACGAGTGCTGTGCACAGCATAACGGCACCTCAATTCTGATGTGTGGCGGTCACTCATGAAGGCTGCTGGTAGTAGTAGTAACATTTCGAGGCTGTGCCAAAAGTTACACCATTGAATTGGATCTGCAAAGGGCCGTAGTTACACTGCACTGGAGGTTGAGAGACATGAACCATTCACTCTGCACTGGACGAGCACTGGCCATCAGCCGTCTCTTCTTCAGTCTCTTTCTCTGCTGCAGGGGTGTCACAGTCACTTGTTTGCTGGAGTTAATTAAGCTCCCCATTTCCATTGTTACTACTGCATTCTCCCTGCTCTCGATAGTCGGATGTGATGTCTCAATGTTAAAGCCCTTCACTGACTAATCACTGAGGCCTCCGAGAGAGAACGTAGTGAATGCCCGATGTGTGTGGCTGCGGCTTGCAGCTGCAGCGCCTTTTGTCAGGCTTACATGTACAGTAGTATATGATGTGTGTGTAGAGTAGGAGTAATTGTGTACAGCATACTCCTACTGTAGTAGAGGAAGGAGGTTCTGATCTGCAGCTTGTGGGGTGCAGTAGGAGTAATACTCCGTGTACTCCAGTATTTGACACTGGATGCAGTGAAACTGGTTCTTCTGCTTCTTGGCAGTCGTTCATAAACGATCTTTGCGAGAACGGTAAACAAACCACGCATACGCAGTACTCATACATCCATGAATTTCTCTCTGAATGAGTCGAAGCTGCAAACCGGGACACAGATTGCCGTGTGCATGCCCACCACAACCGATTGGCTTCCAATCCTGTCATTTCTCAGACCCGATCCTGGCCGAAGCTTCCAACAACAGTACGCTATGCAGTAATCCTAATACTATCTCGCCCATGCACAGCACAGCCTGAAGCAGTGAAGCTTGTGAAGGATCAACGACGACGCAGTAGTTCACGAAAGCATCTCCTGTTTCACCACCGCCATGGCACGCACTGTCCCTGTGCATGCACATACATGTTGACTCGAGAAACACACTGAAGAATGGGACGCGCGAGCTGCACCATGTCGTGCGTACGCATCGACGATGGCGTGCAGGTTCACCCTGCTGGTACTGGTACAGTAGGACCGACGGCCGGACGGCCGGCAAGATGGGTGGACAGTGGTGGACGCGCTGTTCCCGGGTATTCACAAGGTAGAAATTCTACAGAAAATCTTCTATCGCCCAACCTATCTTTGACCCCAACAGCCACGCAAATTCTTGTCGAAATTGATGATGTACCACTACTAGTTAGGTTTCAGACATTCGGCAAACACACTGGCATAGTGGCATGCAGCTGAATCATCATCCTTCCCTCACATCAGATGCCAATATGCTAAGAATTCAGTGGCTGTTATCATAGTTGCAAGATGTGAACGCCACGGTGGTTGTTTCCAATCATTCCCGTATGGCCGTATCGTGCTATGCTGCAACATTTGCCAAGGAAACGAGCTATTAGCTAGAGGCCATGCAAATGGGGACATCGTCATCTGTGGAACCCTATGCTGCTCGGGGACAAACGGAGCGGAGCTACAGCTCCTGGAACCATTTCAGGGGTATCCCATGTGTCTTGTGGAATGAAGAGAGCAGAAGGAATTAAATTCAGAATGATCTGATCCTTAGGACATCAAGGGGAGCCACATGACGTGCCAAGTGAGCTCCAAGCTCAATCCAATTTATCTAAGATCCGCCGATATCTGGAGCTTGTGTTTATTAGACATGGCTATCATGCATTCATGCATGACGGTTTTGTTCATGTGGTCCACTATATAATGCAGCCCACTATTGCGACTTCTTGACCAGAAGACTCAAGATGAGCAATCATTTTAGTAAGACTGTCATTGTTGCCTTGGTATTGTCGAGTAGGTACGATCCATATGTCATGATTTCATCGAATTGTTCGTATGCTAATACTACTATTTTTAACACAACAAAGACATTTGCCTTCTACTCCTACTGTGGAAAGCATCATGTTTTGGAGAAAGAACATACTACTAGCAAGTTCAGACTTCAGAGTATGTAGCACTGATACTTTACAGAAGTTGGATGAATTCTTTCCTCAAGCTCTGCAGACACAGGCTCCTCATTGATGAGGAATGGAATCTACAGACTACTACTCCTACTACGTATATACTACAGCCACTCTTGTATATGATGAGATGAGTAGAAACAATAGGAGCAGTAGGATTGCAGTGATTCAATTGCTAGGTTTTTTGTCTGCAACTGTTGCTACTTCTGTCCTCTCTATCTAGCTGCACTACCCACAAGCTGCGAGCTCAAGAAGATCGCAATTCGCAAGGTGCAACAAGCTGCTAGTACTACTAGCATTCACAACTCACAAGCAGAATAACTAAAAAGTACTAACCTGCTCTGAGGAAAAAGCTCTTATACAAGGACGGACTGTTCATCACTTAAAGAGGATGAGGACCAGGAACTCGCAACTGCATCGGTACTGAATACTGATCGATACCAGGTCTCCAAGAAACAGAAAATAAAGGAAGAGAGACAACTGTGAACATTTACTTGATGGTACTAATATGTTGACCTGTACTGTGCTTGAGAAGCAAAGCTTGTCCAACATTAGTACGCGAGTCAAGGTTAGTATCCTGATTCGTATATTAGTATATTACGATACTACGATTTTATCAAACCGAAACGATACCGCGATATCCTAATTTTGATAGTATCTCGATCCTACTATTCATTACCACACGATCCTACGTAATCTTATATAGTATCCTAATTCTACAATCCAACAAAATATTATTTAAAATATGATAGTTTGAAAATAATGAAATATGCTCAAGTTTATATATAAAAATCAATTAAATATATCAAAACTAATGTGGTTTTTCTTAATAAATATCTCTATTTGCATGACATATATTATTACTATATTTTTTATATAGAATGGCTATATGTAATTAATATAAATATTAATTAAACTTTTAAAAAAAGAAAATCTCTTAGTATCCCGATCCTACGATACGATACTACTTTGAGCAAAACTATATTAACTAAGATCCTAATACTGACAACCTTGTCGCGAGTAACTCAATTTCTTGTAAACACACACAGAGACTATCAATTAATACCAGGAATATTTTTTACCTGTATTTCTTTAGCAGTAAAAGAAGTATAAGAAAGGCACACTTGTTGCAAGTACAATTTTCACAATATTTAGATTTAAGGTAATTTTTTTAAAAAATACTAGACACAAGAGCAGTTTGTTCTAGATCACGCAAATATTCTAGCTAGATCAAAATCAACTTGCTATGCTAAATTATTCGTGAAAGTTGAATAGTTTTGTAAGAAATGATAAGTTTGTTATTTAAATTCTTAGTGAACAGTGGCAATTGCAGACGCAGCAGACCTTACGCATTTATATAGGGTGTGTTCTTTTTCTCTATTCACCTTTATGCATGATGCTTATCTTTCATTATCTAAAAAAAATATGTGCTTGATGATCTTTGTTTCAGAATGAAATTTGTTTAATAATCTATTTTAGAAATGAACTTAAAGAAGAAAATATCCACATTATACTAGCTACATGACTAAACCAGTTGATAAAGGCAGACAGCAATGGGAGGGTCTCTTCTTCTCTGCCTCCACTAGATGGCGTTGGCGGGTGAACGCTCTAGGGGCCAGGATCTATCAAATGTGATCGTTGACAAACGCAGGGTGATGGAGGATCCGTTTGGAATGCTTCTCAAGAGCGTCTTAGTGTGAGGATTCCCCAAGAGGTTGCTAATGTTATCAACATCGACAGAGAAGACCTCAACCTCCTATGAGAGGAGGCCTCTTTCGGATATGGACCTCATGTTTCCTTTGTAGTTCAACTTGATTCTTCTGCCTTCTTTGTCGGTGGTTTGGATCCCGCCGTTTATGTAATTATTGCTGTTGTGTTGAATTTGTGTAAAAGATCTAGCTAAAATCTTTGGTGGTGTATCTGAAGCTTCTCATCGTGTGTTAGCACCTGAACCTCCACATATGAGAGGCCCCTTTAGGGTTTGTGAGCATGCTTTTCTTTTGGCAACTCGCCTTGTTTCAAGCTCCGTAGCAGCTGAGCTCCAAGCCTATGCCATCGGCGTCGTAGGCAGCCAAAGGAGAATAACCCAATTGCCTTTTCATATTGTATTATGTTATTTTCTGCAAAATGTTGATTGAAATTGTAATTTAATCATTCTAAAAGGGCTTGTTTGCAAAACTGGATGTATCCTATACTGAGTTTTTTTTTCTTTTAAAAAAAGAAGAATCAGGGAGTGGCCATTTTTTTCTGCGTTCCTCTCTGTAGGTTATTTTGTGAAAAAAATAGAAGTGGTTAAATTTGCAAATATAACCCAAGTAGCACGTCTATGTAGCATGTACATGCACCTTGCTTAGTTTTCTTGGCACCCTACTAAGGAAAAATAACTTGTGTGGGAGCACTTGTGAGTTGTGACTCAAATGCACCCACCAGACAAGATGAGTGATTCGCTATTCAATTACAAAAATAGTGACCAACTTAAATAAGAAACTCACCGTGCAAGTTGCAATACCAATAGTATAATTTGCACTTTAAACAAACTTAAATAAGAAATTCAAATGCGATATACTACTGTAATACTCCATCCACGACATACTAGCTTCTTAGCGATCTTCAACATTATAGTTTGATCAATGATTTATTTTAATTTATAACATATTTTCCATAAAAATAAAACTAACATTATACAAAAATATTTTAATACGAATCCAAAAATAAGGACGCGTTATATTTTAGATTGATGAAAGTAATTCAAAAAAGTTGCTACTACTAAGCATTAGACAAATACAAACAATAATAACTATAACTTGAAATTAAAGGCTATTTTAATCTAATTATTGTTATACAGTTTATGTTATGGTTATGGAAACCACATACCACCTCCGTCCCAAAATATAACAACTTTTGACTATGAATCTGGACACATAGTTGTCCAGATTCATAGCTAAAAATGCTTATATTTTGGTACGGATGGAGTACCTAATAGTAGTTGACTAAGCTCGGCAGGACCATCATATATTAAGTCTTATACGGAATTATATCTCGTATATAGAAGGAGTTCTGGATAAGGAATGACGAATACAGTTCTATATGAAAACGAGAAGGACTACTCGAATTGTATCCATATTGGTCTCCCTAGTTCTACTTGGACAAAGGGGTATCTATGGGTATAAATACAAGACCCCTTAATAGGAGGGGAGACACAACAACAGATAGACACACAATATACAAGCCAACATATGCCGTCAGACATCAACATTAGGGTTAAGCCTAGAAAGACCAACAAGAGGGATTTAGCGTCAAATCTGATCTCAAGAGCTCATACTCGAGGAGGAAGACTACCATGTCGTCAACTATGTGTTGGTTATCCATGCCGCCAAGTTGACGACAGCTCGATAGGTTATCCCAATTATTGTACTTGTGTGATCCAGATGAATAAAGAGTAACACCGGCTTCGGCCGACAGGAGTAGGGCTATTACCTGTCAAATAAGGGGTCCGAACCTGTATAAAAATCCTTGTTTCCATCTCTTTTACCTCAATCTCGCATACCCTGGTACCAACTATCCCTATTTCATGCAAATACTGTAGTCGAGACCTCAAACGTCGACAGTTTAGTTAGGGTGAAATTTACTCTGGAAATCCGCTCGATTTTTTTTAGAAAATCATGAGCTACAATTAGGAGTCCGACTTTCGTCTCAAGTTAACATACAAGTTTTTTTAAAAGATATTTCTTATACGGCTCCTTTTGTATTTTCAAAAGCGAACAAACATAAAAACTAACTTAAACACGAATCTATATTTCTAAAAATGAACGAAATTAAAAACCGACTCAAACAAGGATAACGTACCTTGTATTGGCAAAAACATTTTCAACTTTTATAATAGTCGAGATTAATAAACAGATAGGCGTGAACTTAGAAAGGGTCTCATCTTTTCGCTTATATTTATACTTATCAGCCAAAATTTGAATTTTTGACGTTAAATTTGGAGTTGATTTTAGGGGTTTTTCATCAAAGTTTATTTTTCAGACTTTGTTTTTAGATCGCTAAGAATGCATATATAAAATTTTTATTCATAAATTATTCTTCAAATGCAAATATGCCGTAAAACGATGGGTCCACAAGGTTTGGATTGATGAATACTACTCCCTCCATCTTCTTTTGATAGTCATATTTCTAAATCTAAAAAAATTATTTTTGATAGGCATATTTCAATCCAACAACCTATCCTCTTAATGACTTTCTCGGATTTAATGCGTGACTCTACATTCTTCCACACAAGATTGGCTACATGGGCATCGAGAAATGTAAATATTAATGAATCGCTTGTTTACAAGGAATAACTGGTAGCATATTTAAATGGATGATAAGTAGAATTACTTTGGTCTGTGTGCCAAGATGAAATATGACTATAGTTTAAGTATGCAATGCGGTAGTACGTACATTGCATCGGTACCACACTAAGCGCGCATTCAATAAGCATCAATCAAACTGTCAAAAAAAAAGCATCAATCAAAGACTCCAAATTAGGTGCTTGTCAAATTACGGTTTGATTAATGATTAATCCATGCACCACAATGTCTCGGATGCTCAACTAACTTGACACGTCGTCATATACTTGTACTGAAGTCTTCAACTCTACATCACGTACAACAGTAGTGGTGTAGTACCATTGGACACTACTACATCCTACAGATAAGAGGCAGAGCCAATAGCGAAGAAATACTACTGTTTGACTCCATTAGATTTGTCATTAATATTATCATTTATCAACACCACTATTTAGTCTTTACCATAGTTGATTTCTACAGTACTAGTAGTACCCTGTTTTGCCTGGATTAGCCTCTCACATTTCATACTAGCTACTGTAGTATAGTACCATAAATGTAAAGAGACAGAAGAACAGCATAGTATCCCAGGTCTGGATAACACTATTTATCATACCCAATTTTAGGATCATTAACAGGCTAGAGCAAACCAAGATTCTCAAGACGACAGCTCTTGGCACGATGGGACTCATTGGATTCACCATGCAAGACAAGAGTTGCATTGCATTGCACTAGCACGAGTGAGCTTGAGACTGAGCTCTTCCGCTACATCTTGATGTCCGCGAGGTTGGCCCAGATATGCTCGAACACGTCGACGATGAGGTCGTGGTACTCGGCGGCGTTGAGCGACAGGTAGCACGCCAGGAGGTCCTCCAGGTCGGCGGCGGTGCGGATGCCGTTCTCGGCGATCATCTCCTCCATGGACTCCCGGAAGTCCCTCCTCGGGTCCCGCGACGACTTCACCACCGCGAAGCTCTCCGCCAGGGGCGGCTTCGTCGTCGGCGCCGGCGAGCGCGCCGCCGCGGGTGGTGGTGGTGGTGGTGGCTTTGACTTCTTGGCCACGATACGCGGGGTGTTGGCGCGCGTCTTGAGGCGGCGCGCGGATGACACCGACCGCCTCGGCTTGCTCTGTTCGAGGAGGGTAGTGGGTTTTTTAGCCGACGCGCGTCTCACGACGTCGATGTGTTTCTCCTCCAGATCGCAGCCGTCGAGCTCTCTCCTCGCCGGCTTGGTCACGATAGGCGGGAGCACCTTGTCGGGCCTCTTCTCGGTCCGCAGGTCGATGATGATGTCCGTGGCGGAGGTGATCACCTTGCCGTCGAGCTCGTCACACGCGGCGACGGCGACCGTCGGCTTCTTGAATTCCACCTCTTCCTCTTCCTCGTCATCGTCGTCGTCATTGTAGCCGACGAACTTGTCGCGGCGGCACGGTGGGGTGTCGGGCGCCTCGACCACGACGAGCTCCGGCTTGCGCCCGCACCGGCAGCCGGTGGACACCGGCGAGGACAGGACGCTGCTGCCGCTGACGGACGGCGCCAGCTTGACGGACCGCCGCCTGTGCCTGCGCCTGGACTTCCTCGGCGGCGACAGCTGAAGAGGAGGGAATTGCGTGTCGGAGCACTTGGGATGGAGCGGCGACCCCACGAGCAGGTCGCCGGCCCGCGGCGTGTAGTAGTAGGACGCCCTGTGCGGGAGCGACAACGCGCCGTGCCTGGGCGTGTTCGGCAGCGGCCGGCACGCCCTCCCCGCCCGCGACACGGCCACCGAAGACTGCGTGACCACCCCACCGTGGCTGGCCCCGCCGCCGCCAGCGCCCGCACCTCCCCGGGCGGCGCGCATGTCGCGGAGCTTGAAGAACCACGCGTTCGGGATCATGTCGGACAGCCTGAACTTGTGCCTCCCCATGGCGCCGCGCTGCGCTCTGAGCTCCACAGAATGCGCGGCTGCTCGAGTATAAGAAGAGCAAGAAGAACAAAGCTTTGTGTGGGCTGCGTTTGGTTGCTTGCTGCTGCTGCTGCGCAGCTTGCTCTGTACGAGGAGGAGCAGAGGCGAGCAGAGGAGGAGATGGCGCGGAGCAGAAAAGGGCGGGTAATAGAGTGGGGGATCGGCGAGGCGGAGAGGAGGGGACGTGAGGCGCCTTTTGTCCTCGCTCCTCTCTATGCGGCGTGGGCCCCCACCTCGCATGGCTTCACTCTCTCAGCTCTCATCAGTGAGACAACGCCACGGTGAGGCCTCCTCTTCCATTACAGATTATTTCAACAGTACTGTACTTACTGCTGCTGCCTGTATTTTTATCTGAAAATCCCTGTAAATCTCTCGAAGTTTTGGTTGACATGAGAGGCTAAAAAATGTTTCAAGGGAGGTCGGGGATAGGATGATAGGATGGAAAGCGCAGGTATTGTTGGTCGGAGAAGAATGGGCCTACGCTGCACTGCACGTAGGATATACTACTACAGTAGACAGGATATGATATGAAATCTGAAGAAATTTCGCTTCGCTCGCTTGTGGATTGTGGTTACGTCCTTTGCCTGGCTGCCTTCAATTCTTTTCTTTCTTTCTCATCTCATCAGGCCTTTAATTACGCGTCGAAAAGCATCCTTGTCCGGGACCTCTTGTTTAATCCTTTTATTTCCATCACCCCTGGGCGAGACAAGCAACAGTACTACTACTGGTGGTGGTCGCTGGCTCGGAGCTTGAGCGGTCAGTCTGCGAGATTTGCCTTCGCCGCTTGCGTTCACAACAAAAACTCCGAGACTCCGAGAGGGTGTGTTTAGTTCACACAAAAAATTAGAATTTTGATTGAAATTAGAACGATGTGATGAAAAAGTTAAAAGTTTATGTGTGTAAAAAAAATTTTATTTGATAAAAAAGTCTAAAAGTTTGAAAAAAAAGTTGAGAATTAAACCACGCCAGAGGCTCTAAATTTAAGATGCCACGCGCAGCTTTTCGGGCCAAGGCCAATGGTCAAATCTTGCGCTGCAATGCAAAGCACCGAAACGCAATGCAGCGAGCCTGATCGGCCGCACGCATGGCGGCTTATCGCGAAAGCCACACACACGCAAAACCAAACCGTAATCCTGTCATGACGCAGTACTAAACTTGTACTTGCATGTTAGATTAGTGTGGTTGTGTGGCACTTGTAAAGAGTCAACTGGCAAGTGGCAACCCAAAAGAGGGACGTGGGTGAAGGTACCGGAGCTTTTGATCGTAAAAACCGAGTCCTCGATCGGCATGCTTAACACGGGAGATGGATCCAGCACCGGCACCAAACGGTGTCGATAGGATTGATGGCTGCGTGCTTAGTGCTCGGCGATCTCAGAAAGGTGCTCGTTATTGTAGACTAGAGTGTGGTCCTAACTCCGGCCCTGAGGCGGGTACTCGCTTCGCGCGCGCGTGCATCATGCTGCAGAGGGCAGAGCCCCTCTGCCCCGTGGACGAGACAAACACAAGGATGCAAAAACGTTGATCAAAACCATATTATTATTTTTTTTAGTTTTTCACACGCCTGCTTAATTAACCCATATGCATTGCGAGTGCGACACACAGCGACAGTCTTAGCCAACAAGTGCAATATAAATACTTGAACTAACTCATTCTAGCGCCGGCAATATAATACTGCAACCGGTAGATGAGATGAGATGAGGATGGCCCGCGTTTTGCCCAGCACGGAATCGCGCTTGCGCGCACGGCCGGAGGGCGAGAGGGCACCAGCGATGACGCCTCATTTAGCGCGCACGGAGCGCATAATATAGGTACTTAAGCCGCACGGTTCGTCGTCGCCGTGGCCCCGCGCGCGCGCTTAATTTTTTCGCGGCCTGTCGGGCGTTGCGCCCGCCGGGCGAGCGGCATCGCCGACTCCGTCTCCACCTACTCGGCTACACGTCCTTCCCGATCGATTTGTTAACCGCGCGGAAACAAAAGCGCGCCAGCATCTTGGTTCCCCTGGGCCATGCGTGGTGACACTATTTGCTTGCCTTCTTTTCCGGGCTCCTAGTTACCTAAACTGCTTATTATCAAATGTTAAGAGTGTCTCTCTCACTAGCCATGCAGGCAAATGGAGTGCGTATCAGCTGGCTGGCTTCCTTTGACTTGGAGGCATTTCCGTGCTAGTTGCAGTTAGCCAACAATGGATGGGCTCAGCTCAAAGAAAAAAAAAACTACGAAAGGGCTAACCCTTCACAAGTTGTGTCTGTATCGTGGATGGAATGATGATACGTTGATCTTGTTTGAAACTGAAGCAGATAAAGATTTTTTAGAGAAAAGGCCGAAAGGCCCAGCTTACTATCAAGCATAAGAGTGCAGATACAAGGGTAAACGCTGGGGAAGCCAGCTTGAAATGATGTGCTGAAAACTCAACTTCACTTCTATTAAGGTGCTGCTGGCACAGCGCTAACAAGCCAGGAAGGAACTCACAAAGAACCACACAGCAAAAATTAACGCACTAGTTTGGTCCTGACGCCCGAATACTGGCAAGCAATGAGTCCTTCAGACCATCCACTTCGACCTTCAGCTTCTCCGGCAGCAGCCCTCTCCACTGGATCAAAAACGAAACAGCTTTGTGAGGGAGATGACATATATTAGAAAGCAGCTTGTTATTGAAAACCCAGTCATTTCTCACAAGCCAAATCGCCCAAATCCCTGCAGAAATTACGTGTAAAAAGATTATTGCCCTATCATCCCCCATAGTCATCAAGATATTCATAAACTCCCTCCTGGAAGAAGGGACGTGATCCCAATGAAACACATCTCTAAAACAACACCATAAAAACCTAGCTGGTGCACATTTAAACATTAGGTGATCCACATCCTCTTCAGCACCACAGAACTTGCAGAGGGGATCTCCATTCCACTTCATCTTTTTAAGCCGATGAGCAGCTTGAATTCTCCCCTTAAGCATCAGCCAAACAAAGATCTTAATTTTCAGAGGCACGGGTGTCTTCCAAAGTTCTTGCATCTTTATGTCTCTAATCCCCCCAAAGGTCATTTCTCTATAGAGAGATTTCGTAGTAAACTGTCCTGATTTTGTTAATTTCCATCTCATCCTGTCCCTATCCGTAGATAAGTGAACATTTGCAAGATCTGCAAGTAGTTGTTCCCATTCAACTAGCTCCTCGGCACCAAGCGATCTTCTAAGATCAATCCTCCAGCCATCAGAGGACCATAATTGACTCACTGTTTTCCCAGGATCAGCCACTATACTGTAAATGTAGGGAAATTTGATTTTCAGAGGTGTATCTCCTAGCCAGACGTCATCCCAGAATCTAGTACCACTGCCATCCCCTAAATCATACAGCTGCCCAATTTCAACCAATGTTTTACCTCATGCAAACCTCTCCAGAATTGAGAGCATCCCTCAGTACTAGACTGGAAAAAGCCTCCCCCGAAGCAGATAAAGATTAAGTTGATATACGTAAAACGAGAAAACTATTAGCATAGAATTAATTAATTTTTAATTATTACAAACTTAATAAATGTATATTTTTCTCACGTAGTAATGGTGTTAGATATTGCAACAATTTTATAATCCATTGCAACAAATAGAAATCCTTGTAGTGAAAACAATTTCTATATAGAAAGTTTTCACAGGAAACATAACATTTATTAGTTTAAAAAACGTGCTAACAGAATCTTAATTGATGTAATGTGTATGTGACCAGGCCGATTGATCCCTGTCGCGGATGTTACTCATCCTGCATGCGCTGCCGATCGATCGACGAGCGTAGGTACGTTCTCTACGTCGTTGCCTCGTCGCTGTTTGTTCTCCATCGATCGGGTTCAGATTCCCACCGGTACTTTTCGCGGATCATCATGAGGCTAATCTTGTGTTTTGTCACGAGATTAGAGCATCCTAGTCATCAAATTCCTCAGGGAGCCCTGTCAAAGTACGTACGATACGCCGGCTGCGAGAGCAGCTGGCGACACACAGTACCTGCGTTGGGAGTATACGCACATGGACATGTGCTATACGCAAAGCAATGGTAGCGAAGGGTCGTACTCGTACACGACTCGGGGGCATGTATTATTAGCGTATTTCGGCCGTCTCCCCTTAAATCGATCGGTCCCGTGCCCATCTGCTGATAATGATCGAATACCTGATGGCGATGATCAATACGCAACAAAGATACGGGTATCCTTTGGTGTGACGGAACGGGGGACGGCTGGTGGTGTGGTGTCTTCAATTCAGCTCAACTCGATTTTTTCATACAGTCCTATACTGCATGGTCACTGGTCATGCAAGAAACGAATAAATATGTTCAGTGTTGCCTAATTGGTTGGTAGCGTACACGCACAAATTAAGCCGAATCTTTCACATATCTCGCCCCGACAACGTAACTCCATATCGACCTCTCTTGAATAGGGCAGGATATGAACCTATGGCTCCTTTTATGCTGCTCTCAACTCTGAATCTTGACTTGATGAACCAGACGTGCTACCTGTGTATAGTATCCAAGATGTACGTATGTACTCCGTACATAGCTAGTAAGTGTGCTGCTATAGAGGGTGTTTGGGAGAGAGGTAACCCCTCTCACAAAACCATAAGTACTCGTTTCTGCCAATCGCTAGGGTGAGGATAACAACTGTTGGAGAGTTTGACCTGACGTGACAACACACGTGTGAAGCACATCAAAGCAAGCGCAGGGTAGGGTATCGCCTCTCGCCTCGCCGAGGCCGTAGAACTAGCTATTCAATGACAAGGACGCCGCAGCGAAAGCCTCTGGCTCTAACCTCTAAGCCCCTGTTAATTTTTTTTCATCTTATACCCGTCTTAATTGGAATCCAGCTCATGATCCTAACTGGCCCATTGTACATAGACTAGGGTCTTCTTCAACCGGTCGATCAGTTTGGTCTCAGGCTGCCAGCCATTGCATTAATCCAACAAGATTTGCAGTTGCCGTAGTAGGTTCATTAAGCGAGGTCCTTGGAAAGAATCTCGACCTACTGGCCGGCTCGGCTCTCACTGGTGCGTACTCCATTTTTGCACAAATGCACCTATGCCCTGACGACGATAGAAAAGGATTGGACATTGTTGCATCTTGGGACTTTGGTTTGAAAAAACAGGAGTCCCCCCTACAAAAGGTACGTGTCATGGCACCATGATGATGATTATCTCCGCGTCGATACCGCAATCTGATGGGGAAATAAAGCTGCATCCATGGTGATGGGGAGGCAACGTTGCTACCAGGCCATCATGGAGATTGCGGCACCTGAGGTCCACATGGTTGTTGCATTGTTGTGGATCGATCCATCCATTTTGCTCGGCTTTTTTTTTTTATGTTTGTTTTTCGAAGGCTTTGTATTTATAATGGCAATGTGAGAGCACGTTCAGCGGTCGGCCCAATTTATTTCCACACTTCCAAAGCTTCAAATAATCAATGTTCTAAAATACGGAGTACTCCAACTTCGATGGCTCAATCTGAACATCAAAGTCAACCGACAATACTCCAGCATTGTTCATGCTACTACCTCTACTTGCATAGTCGCCATACGTTCAGCTACAACGTGGAATAGTGTCAGCGACCTAACACAGTAGGTTTTCATAATCTAATGAAACAGACCACCTTAATGAGCATATCATTACTTAGTTCCGACTTGGTCGCTAATAACACCCAGATTCTAAGCATTGTGCTATTGATGATAGGCTTTGATCCCTAGAGCTTAATTCACTCCAGTCAGAGTAAAATCCTGGTCTGCTCGGGGCTCTATGTGTTGTACTTAGCGGAAATCATGTTGTTGAACGATAGAGTACTAGTAATAAAGAACCACGTCTAATTACTGTATTTTGCACACGGCTTGGACGATGGGCCGAGTGTGAGCCGTGGGCAAAGCTCAACCTGTAATTCAGTTTCTTGTACCGGACAATTGAGTTCCTATCAGAATCAAGTAGTACTTGGGCAGCTAGATAGCCCAATAGCCCATATAAAAATCCCTATAAAAATTCGGAGGATTATGCAAATCTGAGAGGCTGGGCCCAACCAAAAATTTCTGACTAGTATTTCCAACTCTCACGAGGAGAACATTCATCCACAAATATCACCTCCTGTACACATCATCTGAACCAGCCAGCAGGCAACCAGCCACGTTGCCCAAATCGCTCCTGACCAGACACAAGCGTGCAAGCGCGCGACGCAACGCTCAACGCCGTCCTCTCGCGCCTGAAACACACCCCGGCGTCGCAGTCCTCTCGTTTCAGCAGGCTCGCCTTGCACCACGTAGCCTTGCAGCCGCCACAAGACTCCCATGCATGCGCACACCAAACGCCTCCTACATATATATAATAATGGTTTGATCAGTCACCAGTTCAGTTTCTACCTGAGGAGAATCAATCACCGATCTGCAGACTGCAGCCATGGCCATGAGGGCAATCACGCTGTCCCACTCGCAGAGCGCCTCGTTTGGGCACCACCACCACCAAACCATGCCGTCCTCCTTCAGGCCAAGCACTGCCTCCACCAGATCAGTGAAGGTCTACGCAAAGGAAGATGAGGAGAAGGGCAGCAAGCAGTCATTGTTCGGGAGCATCACCGAGGCGCTGGACTTCTCGCAGGTCCGGTCGGAGAAGGACGCGGAGCTTCTGTATGAAGCCAGAGAGGCCACAAAGGATGGAGGAAGGATGACAAAGGAGCAGGTATCCATTGAACTACTGATCCGCACAAAAAATTGTCGATCAATGGTGTTATTTAGTTTAGTAGTAACTTAGTACTGACTATACACGGCATGGATTTTCTATGGTCTGACAAGTTAATTTGATTTGCAATGAAGTATGGAGCACTTCGGAGGAAGATCGGTGGCACCTACAAGGATTTCTTCAAGTCATATGTGGATGGTACTACCTCATATATGCTTTACTTGCAGAATCCTAAAATTACTTCTGATCCAAAAAGATTATACTAGTAGGAGTATCGCACAGTCCTAACTGTTTCTGAATTCTGCTTGCAGTTGACGGGGAATACGTAGAGGAAGGTTGGGTGGATAAGACCTGCAAAGTTTGCAAGAAGGACACTAGAGGGGAACCCAGGCAGGTCGACAAGCTAGGAAGATATGCACATGTCGCATGCTTGGAGAACCCAAAACCGACCAACATCTTCGCCAAATTGTTCGCCAGATGAACTTCAATTGTACAATCAAAGACATATTTTTACTCATGCTTAGATACATAGATGGTGTTGTAGCCCCAAGAATTTGAACAATATTATGTGTTCAGTTTTGCCATATAAAATGGTATACAGGGAGCATGTCACACATTTTCCTTCTTCAATTGATCCATTTACTCACGAACAAAGCAATGACTTAACAGACCTGAACGACTGAAAATGTTAAATATTACATCAAGTATTACAGAGCAAGTTAATACACTAATCTATCTATTAGCTTATGCCCCTGGTCTAATATAAGAGGAGCTCAACAGAAACTCAAGTCAAAAGAAATGCTATATAGAGCTAACTGGTTATCTGATGCTGCTTACCTAATTCTGTAGCTATATGACGTGTTCAGAAGTTTCTTTCGTTGACCATGGACAGATACACCCTGCATCTGATGACAGTGCATCCAATCTTAAACCCCGGCATTACTGTAAACCCAACACTGACCTTGTCTCCTTCTTTGGTTATCTTGGATGGAACACATTCCATGTGTTTACTCCTAAATTCAGTACCACCCTTGACATAGAACATCTCTGCTCTTGGATTCAGAGAACGTGCTACGGTTAGGGACGCCCATACATATCTTGACATTGTCACAAATGCCTGATAAAATGGTGTTCTTGGATGGCCGCCATTCTCAACAAATGATCTATGATCCAAATTTCCGAAGAATGAATCCTCCATACTAGGAGGCAAAATGGCCAGATACTTTTCTCGACAGAATCTCCCAAAACAAGAGTCTGGGGCCTTCATAAGAGCATCAAAAGGATCACTGAAACTCATTACATAATCGAAGACATCCAGCGAAAGGTACTCCTCTTTGTGCCCCATCAACATCATACAAGCAAAGTAGGCCTCAACGGCGTAATTCTTGTGAGACCTTTTATCATAGACAACAGAATTGTCTATTGGGGATGTTAAGTTGCCAAGATTCCACCGAGAAAGTTTCATCCAACGGACGACGAGTTTTGCAAAATCATGGATAGACTTTGTCGAAAGCTCGAATAATTCCATAAACATATCCGTTGATACTCCCATCCCAATTGCAAAACTTCCTTCTTTCTGTAACGCACTTTGACCGATCTTCTCCTCCAGTTCCATGTTCTTCCTTTCCAGTTCATCCAACTCCGCTCGCAAACACACAATCTCAGAGTCTCTCTTGCACATGCCAGCTTGCAACTCCACGGCCAACTTTTGTTGCTCCTGAATTCTAGAGCCCACATAGCACTGGTACATTGGATTTCTCCATTTGTTCATGTTGACATACAGATCCTTCAACCCGGCAGTCTCTTGAAGCTCCGATGTGAATCGCTCATCAGCGATCGTAATCTCTTCAGGATCATATGGCACAAGAGCTTGCTGAAGGTTCACGTAACTCAATTTGAGGCCAGAAATCGCGTCGAGAAGCCTCTCAACAAACGCTTCCTCGCAGCGAGCAGAGGAGCATTCAGAGACGCTCTCATGGTCGGACACATGATGCGGGTGGACTTTCAGGTGCGCGCCGCCGTCTTCGCTGCTCTCTCCGGTGGCGCTGCCGTCGGCCTTGGGCTTTTCGCGGACGGTCGGCGCGACGCCGACGGAGCGCACCTTGCAGATGTCGGAGATGCGCAGCAGCAGGCAGGAGGAGGGCGTCCTCCTCACCTTCTCCGTCGCCGACTCCATCGCAAGACTGCGTACTACTGGTCTACTGCAAAGGCGAGGCAGAGCAGCATCAGGCTCCAAGAACGATTCAAGATGGTTGAGACAGGAAGTAAAACATGCGCGGATTCCAAGGCGAGAGTTTGCGGGTCTTCGAAGAGATTGATTCCAACCGGATCAAAGCCAAGAACACGATAAAGTCTCTGCCTTTCTTCTGAAGGTTTTGGGTTTTAGCCGATTGCCAAGAAGAAGAAAAACATCAAAAATTGCAAACAAACAAACAACTTCACCGTATATTCTCGCACAGTCATGAGTACTCAGTAATCACTAACCAGTGTACCTTCAGTGACCACCCCAAGAAGCTCCAATAACCGCCATTGAATTCTCGCGCCTGCACGGATCCAAGAAGCCAAAAGCCTGAAAGAAAAAAGCTGCAGCGAAGGTGAGGTCCCTGCTCTGAATCTTCGAGAATCCAAGTGGTTTTGGGAGAATGGGAGGCAAAGACCTCGTGGGCTCCAATGGATTCGAACAACAAAAAAGGGTGGATCGAGGAAGGCGAGTGGGAGCCACTCACTCGGGGCAGTTTTCTTTTGTAATCCCCAGATGCTAAGGACTTGGCCGACCATAGGAAGCGGGGCTAGGTAAACCCTAATCTCTCATTTATCTCTGACTCAATGCAAAGACTGTAACTGCCCATGCGGCTATGCCATTTAATTTTAGTTAATTTTAGGCTCTGTAAAGACTGTAACTGCAGATCTGACTTCTGGCCTTCTATTCCAGATCTTTACCATGGGGATAGAAAGCGGGAATATTCAGAGGGTATCGCCACGTTTTTCGTTTTTTCTGACGGTGTTGCATGCCGTGTCACGATGCAGTAAAGAAGAATTTTTTGGGTTGGTGGAAGTTGAATTTGGGAGAGGTAGTACAGTGCTGAATGGCGCTCAGTGTTGTTCAGATTTTATGTTTCTACTGCTATCTAGTGGTCCTCAGGGTCAATCTTGAATGATAACTGAGATTTCTCGGAGGGAATAATTTGCTCTGCCCATCCACATACACTTACAATATTTTGCACCATCAAATAGCCTACTTGTGTGTTTGCACAATAAACAACCCCCTAGGAGCAAAGCTTTAACCAAAGTTTCTTTCTGATGAACACCACACGATTGGAGATAAGTAATGCCATGTCCCCAATGCCTCAGTGTAAAACTAACTGATGCTCGTGGTTAAGCACTCTTCCAATTGATTATGTCTGCGCCTTTGAGTTAGCCCATACTTGTCAGTTGCCACTCCTTAAATGCCCAGTTGCCTAGTCCTTTAATAATTTCCATGAGCAAAAAGCAAGCAGAAATACTACTAGCATCCATGCGAGCCATAATTTGTTCATATTTTTGTGGGAGTAACAAAGACGTGGAGATCAGCCACAACGATTTTCTCCTCTGATACGAACTGTTTAATTATCTCCGCAGTAATATCTGGGAAAAAAACAAACCTTTTCGAAATACAAATCAGTATAGGAAACAAGTAGGAGTAACAAACGTACCTGGAGCCGGAGCACGTACTGGTATACGTTAATACGTACGCGTGCGTGCAGGGTTCCACCACTCGCCAAGACGATCGAGCCAGCAACACGTACCTAGCTACGAAAACGAACTCTCGCCGATGGTTGATCTGTCAGGCCTCGAGATATTCCTCGCCGTCGTCGCGCTCATCGCCGCGATCTGTGCCATCTCCTGGACCGTGCGATGCTTAATCGGCCGGCGGTTCGAGGTCGCCACCGGCGATCCCAACGGGGAGCGCCAAGGGTTGCTGAACAAGGAGGAGGTCGTCATCATCGACGTCGCCGCCGCCACGGAGGCGAGGGGCGACGACGTGGCGCTCTGCGCGATCTGCAAGGGGAGGCTCGCGGTCGCGGTCGCGGACGGCGGGGGACAGCCGTGCCGGCGGCTGCGGCCGTGTGGGCACGTCTACCACGCGGAGTGCATCGGCCTGTGGCTGCAGAGGGGGACGACGTGCCCGGTGTGCCGCGCCGACGTCGTTGCCTCGCGGAACGAAATCGTCGGCGCGATGGCGTGAGAGCCGCGCGCACGGGGCGCGGATGCGTGCGACCGGGGGGCCTGGGTCGAGCGCCGCGTTGCAGGGTTGCACAGGGTAACATCAAAATTTATGTTTCCATGTTGTGTTTCTCTTCCGGAGATCTTTTTTTTGTACGTGCACAAAATTGGAACGGAGATTAAGCTCTACTCCTACCTACTTTGACTCTTCTTAAGCCCGTCTGCAACAAGAGGCCGATGGACAATAACATTAGCGCTCTGGTCCTTTTTTCGTTTAGAGTATCCGGACCAAAATACATGTCTAAATCAGTAAAACCATGGGCCGACAGGACGCGATCTTGTGTTGCTCACAATAAGCCCACCAGATCACGACGTTTCTAGTCAGCGACAAAAAGTAGCCCATCACGGTATCGCTTCACAAAGCTTCGCTCTCAGCCCATCTTGCCAACGACAAAACTTAGCCCATCACATTCGCCTCGCCCACGCAAACCTCTATCCGTCGCTTCTGCAGTCGCTGCCTTCGCTGCGGACCAACGAGCGCGACACTGCCACGCCCCAACACAAACAAACAGGACGCTGTAGCTCCAGGAAACCATTACATAAACCATTCGGTCAGCGATGCGCAATCATGATTGGTGCAACAGTAGAGAATCAATCACTACATAATACTATTGTCACCAGCTAGTATTCGTATAAATGTTTTTTTAGTACACAATCCAGTGGCTGATTACAACATGTAGACTTCATTAAGTCCTAACTAACCCATCGTCCCCACAGCCCACTGAAAAACTAATCCGTAGCTGTTTACTTTCGTATTCATATTTCCTCGATTTGCTGTCAATCGGATGGCGGCGTCTGAATGACGGACATGCTAGTTTGAACAACACACAGCCATGAATATAGTACAATATATTTCTTACACTCATATATATATAGGTCAAAATCTTCATGCGATGTGTAACCTGGAAGCCTGAGATCTCCTAAAAAACAGAAGGGTCAGACAGGAGGTCACTGATTCATCAAGCTGAGCAAACACGCTGGCATGTGTTTCAAGTCAAACCTATTTCATTAGTAGCAAGTCAGGAGCAATGTTCAGATTACAAACCCGTCGATCGTCTGCAACTGTACAGAAGTGCAGAAACTGAGAAACATAAGCTAGCCCGCATATTCTCGTAGTGTTGATCCCTTGCGAGATAAGATGGTGACATTCGTGTCTCAGATTTCATTGAAAGAGTCATCATTTGAGAAATTCGGCTTTATCCAGGGTTAACAATCCATATGATTAATTTATGGATTGAGGATAACTTCTCTCGGATAATGACAAAACCAGGTAATAGATCGATAAGAATCATCTAAAACAAACTCGTAATAGCTCGTCACGGTAAAGTCGCATTCAAGCCTGGACCCGCTTGATCGATCTTATCATAAACCCCTATGTACTCTCGGCACGATCAAGTGCCAGATTAAATTATTACTCCCTTGGTTTTTTTAGTTTGATGTTTTTGACATCCATACACATATTCTATCATTAAGTTTTACAATATATTTATAAAAAAAATATTAAAACATATAATCATGCGAAAGCTTTTTTCATGAGTGAGTATAGCTATTACTAGGGGTGGGTAGAAAAAAAATCGAACTGAAAAGACCGAGGCCGAGAAATTCGGTCCTCGGCAGTGAAAGACCGAATTTTTTCGGTCAATTCGGTTAGTCTCCTTGGTTAATCGAATAGATCGCAAAAACCGAATTAATAAAAAAAAAATTAAATGCAACCTATAATCCACTAAGTTCAATAATATTAAACTCTAATTTTCACATTCCTACTTCTTCTAGGCATGCAACCTAATAAGAGTCTTTACTCATACGTGCTTATAATTTTTTTTTGATTTTGTGTTGAAAATTTCGATTATTTCTTTGCATATATGAAAATGTTGTTAAATTTCGGTCAGGACCAAGACCGAGACCGAATTTGTTGGTCCTGAAATTTTTGCGTTGAAATTCGGTCTACACTTTCCAATGACCCAAAAACTGAAAACCGAAACCGAAATTTTCTATCGGACCGAATGCCCACCCCTAGCTATTAGCATTGCTAGGCATATTGAATTCTAATGCTTTTTCTATTTATAAATGATATAAGATTTCAAGATTTGATCGCACATATTTTAGGACATCATTTATTGAGAACGAATGTAACAATAAACTTTAAAAATTCTCCAACAATTCCTACTAAAGCAGTGGGATTTCTAAGGGTATGCTCGATAGTGCAGTTTTGTAACTCATTCTCCCCGCATTGAAAACAAAATAGCTCATTAACGTATTATTAATTAAGTATTAGCTAAAAAGTTGAAAAATAATTAAAATGATTTTAAAGTATTTTTTTCTATATTTTTTATAAAAATATACCGTTTAATAGTTTGGTAAGCGTGCGTGTGAAAAGCTGTTAATGTTGAGGTTGGGAAAGGTAGCGCCAAACACACCCGGAATTAAATTATGAATGTAGTAATTTTCATATGTGGTATAGGCCCTTATTTGGAATGTTTGTGCTTTGCGACAAATAGGCTGATGCTACACCAAAATTCATAATCCAGAGTTCAGTTTTTTATAGAAGAAGTTTTTGATCATTTTCATCCATTTCTTATTCAAAATCGTGGTAAACAAAACTGAAGCAGTGAACCTCATATTTTAGGCTCCAAGCTCAAACTATTTGGATTTTTTTCAATATATACCTTTTTTTCAATATTTTGTGCCGCTTTGGTGTGTAATCTCTCCGCCTCCATCACAAAATAAGCCATCACTACATCTTGCAATTGACTGTATTTTTAAAACATTTTTAAGGAACATACCATAGATAAAAGCTTTTGAGATGCACTTGATGTTGCGGTGGCAAGAGGTATATGGTGTCAACCCCAATGTCTCGTGTTTAATCTCCAATTCCAAATCTTGTTTAAATAGATAAAAACTCTTTTTATATATAAAATGATAGATCCAAGCATGAACCTGCAGCATTTGGCGATAGATCCAAGCATGAACCTGCAGCATTTGGCGCCATGTACATATATAGCATGGCACACGCATGAATAACCCGTTGACTGTATGATATTTTGTACTCCTGATGGCTCAATTGACCTTTGTATGTTACAATCATACACAAAGTCAAATACTGTGATGGTATGCAGTATGCTATAAACATACATACAGTCCCTGTTCTTTTCAGTCTCTCTTTTCCAGTTCTTTTCTGGCTATTTGCCAGACACTTATAATAATACAATTTCTAAAAAATATATATTCTACTGTATTGACCCTTTATACTAATCTATTTATAAAGTTTATTTCTTAATTTATTAATTCATCATGTTAATCAAATAAACAATATGTTTCAATAATGCATGCAAAAATCCGTGTTCGGAATGTTCCCTTTTTATGAAATGACTTGCTAGGGGTGTATTTATAAAATTTCTCACGGAAAATGGCTAAAATTGTGAAAATCTCACCACTGATGATAGGTTGATAACCATCCAGGAAGATGAAAGTGATTGAATCGATGGCGACAACTAGTTGGATGAAATTTCTCACTTTTCCCACGGAATGCTATCAACCGGCGTTTAAATCGAGCTTCGCCATTTCTGTGGACGCACCCAGCTTTGGGTGGCCTCTGCCACGCCGCAAAGCGTCCGCCGTCCAGGCAGGCGTACCCGCCCATCCATTCTGCCAATCGCTTTGCGGCTGCAATATCGACAGGTTTCTGCACCGGATTTCCGCAGCGCGGCACTGTTCGAGACCAGTCGTCGCAACCGCGGGTCGACGAATGGTTGTCATCACTACAACGATTGATGGTGATACTGGCCAAATGGTCCCAGTAAATGCTTACAAGTTTCACGTAATTCCTTCTCCCGCTTTCTTCTCTTCGTTTGACTCGACGGGATAGATAGATATCAGTAGATATTAGAGCAGTTACAATAGCAGCTATAAACCAGCTATAACCACATATCGAGAAAAAAAAGTGAAGAGAGAGAATAAAGCGGGCTACATATTTATAGCCAGTTACAACACAGACTCCGAAACGTTATGTGTGTATGAGAGGTGGGACCGGGTATAAATAGTGTAGTACATTTTATAGTAAACTATTATATGAATAGTCTATTAGATTAGCTATAGATGATTTGGAGCCAGTAGTTGACTATATTATTAAACTTGCTATTAGGAACAGTGGTTCTAAATTTCCAACTCTCCTTCGGTCATTTTCAGTTTTGTGTTCGTCTGATGCAACTTGTTTTTGTCCAAGTGCGTGCTTGATCTTCGCTTCGTCGACTATTCGACCTCTCTATACACTATACAGCCACGACCTTAATGCCGACAGCAGCGAATTAATTAGGGAGCCAATTGCCTCGCTGACTGTTCATGCACAAGTCACCGAGAAACAGTGGCATGAATTGGATTGTCTGACAAGTTCAAATGACGGGATTTGTTCTGGAACCCAAGAATCATTTCAATTTTAAATCGGCTGACTTCCTTCATTGCCAGGGAAGCAATTTGGTTTCGACTGGAAGACCAGATCACCAGATGCAATGCACGCGGCATTGTCAGTTGTCACAATGGCGCCGCACCAATTAAGAATAGTGAGCCCTTCCTTGCTTCGAATGCAGCATTTTGACACTGTCAGGGAACAGGAACGCCATCCTCTGTTTCTCTTTTCTATCGATAGCCTCCGAAGAGCACGATAGGAGCACGAACACCCATCTTTTTTTTTTCTCTTTTTGTATCTTACCCAAAACCGCCAGCTTGATCAAGATTTGGAGATCAAAATTCGGCACGCTCTGATGGGGGCAAATAAAAAAACAAAATACTTTTTTTCCCAACAAAGCAACGCGCACCATGACAAAAGCTCGCACCGGCGCATGCAGAAAAGAACACCCGCGTGATCCCAGAAGCCGCCGCGCCGAGCAGCCAAACGCCAAAAAACCGGGAGCTCGTCGGCAAGCGCGCGGCGGCACGAGGACGCCTTCCTGCCGCCCAACCAAAAGGCGGCGCCGCACGTCTGTGCCCTCGCGGGCAGAACGTTGAACCGGCCGTGGCATCTACTACTCCTCCTACGCCTCTTTCTCGCACCAATCAAGCGGCCTGCAACTCGCGGCGTCCCCTTCCCGTGCCGTGCAAGTGCGTGCAACCCACCGTGTCGCGAATCATGTCCGCTTCGCCAGCGGGGGGCGAGTCTGGCCGCTGGTCCCAATCGTCGCAATCACTCCGGGGGGCGCCCATGGGCCAGTGCTGGCGGCTGCTCCTGCCCCGGGACCCATCAACCACCCCCTATGATAGCAAAAGTGCCAAACTGCGCGTCCCAGTTGCTTGCTTCTGTTACATTGGATCATGGAGTAGTAGACGACCATGGACGGGGGTCCATTCGGTAAGTTAAATCGGAACAAAGGCGTTGCTTTCCTTCCCATACCAAATACGAGTAGTGGTTCAGACGTCATAAAGGTGAAGGAAAAATCCGGGTATCCTTACGAATGGCAGTACAGAAATGTGCATGTGAAAAATACTTTCTATCTTCGTTTATCTTTCGAGAAAAGAAAGGGCGCAATTTGAGTTGGAATTGGAGGGGATTACATTGGACTGAAGCTCGTATGCACAGTTGATCAAACACTCACCATTATCTCTCGGAGCAAAGAATCTTGACAGCCTAAAAAAGACTCTGTACAGCAAGAAGGGGGGAAAAATTATGTTTCTGAACTTATCCTACGAGGCAAGTTGTGATTGGTTTTCACGAAGCCATCATGGCAGGGGGCACCACGGTGGCAACGGGGCAACCGCCGCCTCGCTCCCCGTCGGCGGCGGAGGCGGCTGCCCACCGCCGGCATATCCGGCCGAGCGAGGCGGCCTTCCGCCGGGCGCGCTCCGTGCCGATGCTCATCAGCTCCCAGATCGCCCATTCCACGCCGGGCACGGCCATGACCTGGGTCACCGCCGGCGCGCCCAGGCGCCGGCAGAGCAGCACGAGCGCCGCCGTGGCGTTCTCCCTGGCCCAGTCCGTGCCGCGCCTCATTTCCGCCACGAGACGCGCCACGGCGCCGTCGATGTTGACGATCGCCTCCGCACCGCCGCGCTTGGCCAGCGCGGCGAGCACCGCCGCGGCGGTCTCCTCCTTGCTAATCGCTGACAGCGCCACCTCGGCGACGCCTGCGTCAACGAGCTTGCCGACGTTCTCCCTCTCGCCGGCCAGCGTCAGCAGCGCGGCCAATGCGTCCTTCTTTGTGCTCGTCGGGCCGGTGCGCACGAGATGCACTAATTTCTCCACGACGGATTGGTTCCTGCCGAGCCTGCGGCGGTAGGAATGCACGGACGCCAAGCTGAGCACGGCGGCGGCGGCGTTCTCCTTGGCGCGCCACGTCGCGCCGGAGCTCATGATATGGGCGACCGCCTCGACGGCGCCGTCGGCGTGCATGATGCGCTTCTTGTTGGCCTCGAGGATGGAGAGATTAAGCAGCGCCGTGACGGCGTTGAGCTGGAGCCCTGCATCCTCGGAGTAGAGCAGGGGCACGAGCAGAGGCACGGCTCCGGCCTCTCCGACGAACGCTCGGTTCTCCGAGCCGGACTTGGATAGCAGCCGGATCTCGTGCACGACGCGGTTGGCGGCATCTGGGGAGAAGGAGACGGACAGCTTCTTCACAAGGAACGACGCCGTCATGCGCGCCGCCTCGAGCGCGGCCTTGTTGGCGGCCACCGCCTGGGCCTGCTCGCTCTTGCTCGCCTCGCAGGCTTCCATGGCGACGCCGTTCTCCCGGCACCACTTGGAGATGAGGTTCTTGAGGGCCTTGTTCGACACGAGCTCCAGATTGGCCAAGACCTGCCCTGTCTTGGGGCACGTTGACTTGCCGGAGCTGAACCACCGGTCGATCGACTCGCGATCGTACGTCTGGCCGCTCGCGACGACGACGGGGTCGCGCATTAGATCGAGAGAGATTGGGCACCGGAAGTCCGACGGCGGCACCGGGGGCTCGCCGTCTTCAGCCTCGACGTCAGCCTTGGAATTGGAATCTGAAGGCCGAGGCGTGGCGCTGAACAGGACGCACTTGGCATACCGGAGGAGGCCGACGAGAGCGATCATGGAGGCCGTCCATTTCTCCGAGGCACGGTCGCCGATCTCCTGCTCCAGGCTCTCGATCTCCTCGCTGCAGCTCGCCGGGTCGTTGATGCCGACCTCCACCAGGATCTCCTCCAGCCTCTCCCGCTCCGGCACGATCTCCCGCTCGATCTCTTGTATCAGCGACAGCACGCTCGCCTTCAGCGCCTCCTCCGACTCCGGTGCCGGCGAGCACCGCCGGCACTGGCGCGACGCGAGGGCGAGGACGTCGAGCACGTCGTCGGCAAGCCCCAGCTCGACGACCGGCAACAGGTCGAGCAGCGTGGCCAGGTCGTGGTTGAGCTCCCGCAGCTCCGCCTCCATCTCGTCGGACTCCAGCAGCAGCCGCATCCGGCTGCGCGCCGAGCAATCGGCGACGATCGCCTTGAACCGCTGCAGCACCAGGAGCACCTCCCGCAGGCACAGCGACGCCGACCGCGGCAGCTCCCCCGCGGCGCCGCACAGCAGCAGGTCGTCGAACGCGGCCGCCAGTAGCTTGGACCGCCTCGAGATGGACGCGAACGCGGCGCGCAGGAACGGCGCGGGCGTGTCGACGGCGGACAGGTCGCGCGCCAGGCGGTGCAGCGGCCGGAGCAGCTCCCCGTCGGACGGCGACGGGGGCGGCAGGAACACCGACGAAGAGCCAGACGACGACGGCGCCGCCGCCGCCGGATTACCAGCCATTGGCGCAGTAACCACAACCAAAAGAAAAAATCCTTAGCTTATTAGTGGAGTAAAACCAAACGGAAATGGTGGACACGCAGCGGAGAGCTCGAAAAGAGAGAGAGGTTTATAAACTTCGGAGGCGGTAGGCGTGGCGTGACGAGTTGGTTGAGAGCTGGAAGGAATCCCCTAGACTGATTTTGCCTTTTTCCGTTTATTTCTATTGTGATTGTTATGCATCATGTGCTTAGTTTATTTGTGATGGTATTAGGATTATCTTATATGCATACTATAGTATTAATGTATTATGATGCATTGGCTGGAAAGGGGGGCAGGGTCGTCGCATGGTGGCCGTTGGATGTGGCGCGATGGACGGCCGGGATGGGAATTGGATGAGTGATGATGAGTCAGCCCGTTTCGTTTTTGATCGGATCGCATCTCGCTCTCGGGTGCGGCGGCTGGGTAAGACTTTGGGACAGATGAGGGACGAGCTAAGCACCCGAGTGGAGTTAAAAGTACGGTGAGAGTGGCTTTTGTGAGAGGACAGGCGAAGATGTGGAGGACTAGATATCGTCAGAACCTAAGGATAGCTGTAAAGATTACTTTGTTCAAATCCAGGCAATTTTCACGTGGAAGTGGGAGACCTGTCACACTAAGAACTGGAGTAACTGCTAGATCTATACAAGAGCCGGCTGCTGGATTAAGGTCCTGTTTGGTTTATAGAGACTTATTCCAAGTCCCTGTCACATCGGATGTTTGGACACTTTTTTAAGTATTAAACATATACTAATTACAAAACCCATTCCATAACCTTGGACTAATTCGCGAGACGAATCTTTTGAGTCTAATTACGCCATGATTTTTACAATGTGATGCTACAGTAAACTTTTGATAATTATGGATTAATTAGGCTTAAAAAATTCGTCTCGCGGATTAGCTCTCATTTATTAAATTAGTTTTTTTACTAGTCTAGGTTTAATACTCCAAATTAGCGTCCAAACATCCGATGTGACATGGGCTAAAAAGTTTTAGCCCCATCTAAACACCCCCTAATATGCATGTCCTCTACAGTGAGTAGTAGCTAACATGTCCTATTCCGTAAAAAGAAAATAACGGTTCGTTGTTAGAATTGAATTTTTTTTACGGAGGGGTACAATATAGAAATTTTATGCTTACTATAATATAAATATTCTACTCATCCTAGAATTTTATGTGGATGCGACACATCCTAATACTAATACTAGGATGTATCACATCCGTCTAAAATATCTTATACTACATCCGTCCCAAAATATAGCAACTTTTTGCTATGAATCTGGACACACAGTTATCTAAAATATCTTATACTACATCCGATTTGTTGAGATGTGAAAAGGAATAGGTCCCACTACGATAAGGCTATTGAATGACACCATGGGTTAATGGTCACCAAGCCAAGGACATCGTCATGTTGGCAAGAATGAAGTCAAACTTGTGATGGGAATAAAGTCTTGACAAAGGATGGTAAAGACCTCGGCATAAACATGGTTCAACCGGATGGTCACAAGTGTTGATTTTGGCTTAAGCATTGACCCCAAGTTGGATGGCGCAAGGCAAAGGTATAATGGAGCTACGAATGTTTTCTTAGTCTTTTCCCGGTCTTGGTGTTTGGTGTAGACCGGATTTGCTAGATAGACGTCGTACTATTAAGAGGGGTCTATGAAGCGAGCATGTGGATGATCTTGCGCCATATTAGTTCATATGCATGTAGGTGTATTTGGTGGGCTTGTCTAGCCAAGTGTGGTGAGTATTATCAAGTCCTAAACAAAGAGATATGTGGGCAAATCCTATAGGTTTGGGTAGCCTCATGTGGTTATGTCCGGTGGAGTATCCTTTGGAGTGTGAGCCCTTTCTCCCTGAGAAAAGTTGTGTTTCTTGGATGGATTGTTCATGGATTGGATATCCCTTTGAATAAGCTTTCCATAGAGTCCAAGAGCGCCAAATTCCGAGACCCGAGTCAAGAGATATCGCATTTTACTAACGGTTGGTTGTGCTGAAAATTAACCTGCGGTCTGACCGTGGGCCTTAGGACGGTCTGACCGGGCCTGTTAGCCGGTCTGACCGGCGTGATAAGGCCGGTCTGACCGGCTTCAATGGTCTGTTGCACTGGTCTGGTTTATGGTGGTGATACAGAGCTGCCAGAGCCGCAACCGGTCAGACCGAGCCGAAGGAGGTCTGACCGAGCCGTGGACGGTCTGACCGGCCACTACACTGCGGTCAGACCGGCCAGGTTGAGTGGGCTCAATGACTGCCAACTAGCCGTTACAAAGTAGTCCGGTCTGACCGGCCACTCTATGGCGGTCGGACCGGCAGAGCACAGAGTTGGGGATTTCGACCCCAACGGCTGGTTTTGGTGGTTGGGGGTATATATACCCTTTCCCCAGCAACAAGGGTAAGGTTTTGGCACTCCATTGCATTATCTTGAACCCTTGCAAGAGCTCTCACACTCTTGGCACTTAGTTTATCTAGTGAGGTGTTAGAGAGTGAGTTAAGCCAATCCAAGTGCATTGCTTCATTGTTATAGCTAGTGTGGCACTTGATCATCCTCGGCAAGCATCCTAGACTTGTTACTCTTGGAGGTTGCCACCTCCTAGACGGCTTGTGGAGGTGTTGCCCGGTGACCTCTCTGAGGAGATTGTGGAGGAGGCCCGGCGCCGTTTGTGAGTGGTTTGGAGTTCACCACCTTCGAAGTGAAGGAAGAACTACCCTAGTGATCGAGGCTTGGGTAGTCCTCTCCGTGGGCCGGCTCCCACCTTGCCCACCCCTTGATGAAGGGGGCGTGCGGTGGCTTCGTGGTTGAGCGGTGGAGTTGGGCTCGCCTCAACGGGGACTAGGAAACCGGCAAGTTTCTGAACCTCGGTGAAAAATTCCTTGTCTCTTGTCTCATTTATTTGTTGCATTTACATTTGTGCAATTTACATTCATAGAGACATATTTGAGCCCATATCACTTAGGTTTGCAAAACTTAACTTAGTTGCTTAGTTAACCTTGCACCTCACCTTGCCTAGCAACTTAGGTTAGTTTTGTTGAAGTGCCATTAAGTTTTAAAACCGCATATTCACCCCCCTCTAGTCGGCCTCCTTGATCCTACAGCGGATGAGGCAGTTGCTCACGACGGTGACGGTTAGAGTGGACTAGGGTGGCGACTGCGACAGACGGCGAGAGGCGATGACTGCCATGGAGGATGAGGGCGGTGACGGATACAGTGGACTAGGGTGGCGACTACGGTGACGACTGCCATGGAGGACGAGAGCGGTGACGGATGCAGTGGACTAGGGTGGTGACTGCGGCGAACAACTAGAAAGGCGACAGATATAGTGGACTAGGGTGGCGACAACGGCGAACGGCGAGGCACGAACCATGTTCCTCCCCTTGGGTTGTGTGTAACAACCCGCCTTCCAGAACCGCGTAGCCCAGCCCATCTGATAGGCAGGCCCACTCACACACACCACCCACTTACACTTTCGTCATCGCATCGTGTAAAAGGGTTAATTCAAAAGTGGCACGGTTGGAGGAAAGAGGCCTATAAGTTGGTCCAACCCTTAGGCTGTGTTTGGAACCTAGGGTTCCCAACCTCTCTCCATCGTATTCCACGTGCACGTTTTTCAAACTGCTAAACGGTGTGTTTTTACAAAAAAAAAGTTTCTATAAGAAAGTTGCTTAAAAAATCATACTAATCTATTTTTTTAAAAAATAGCTAATACTTAATTAATCACGTGCTAATGGATCGCTCTGTTTTCTATGCTCACTGTGCAAGTTTGGAACGGCTGATTCTGAACACAGCCTTAGTAAACTAACAAGATTAAACTAAACATGCGTACACAATTCTCATAAACCACACAGGTCAAGTCATAGTTTGGTCAGGATGTTATATACAACCCCTCCAAATACCTGACGTGCCTATCGTCTAACTTACCTTTAACAATTTCTTTACTGATTGGTTTGTTTTATGCGCACATTGTTACCAATCACGACGACACCACCGTGAAAGGCATGAACACGGTCAAAACTCTACCGGACACACCGTCGAAAATTTACATTCACTTCAGAGACGTGGTCTACAGGTTGCGCGGATCAACAGGGTAAAGAAACGTCCAAGAACAACCCATAATATCTCGATCCAAGCTACGGCTTATCGGAGGACGATGTATGCCATATGGAAGAAGCAAGAAGTAACTTCCATATACCATTGGAAAAAGTACAAATTACCCTCTAAAACTATCGCAGTCGTCCGAATTACCCCCTGAACCATAAAACCGGACATTCTTCACCCCCAACTATGCAAACCGGACGAATTACCCCCCTCGACCTAATCCGCGGTGGTTTTGGTCTACGTGACGTACACGTGGCATCCCAATTAGCGTTTTTTAATAAAAAAAAATAGTGGGACCCGCTTGTCATACTCTCCCACCTCTCTCTTCTCCACTTTTCTCTCAATCTCTCTCTCTCTTCCCCCTCTTCCTCTCAATCTCTCTCTGTCTGCCCTCTGCAGGCGTGCACGAGGGCGAGCGGCAAACGGCGGCGTCGCGGCTACGGCTGAGCGGAGGCTACTACGGCGGCAGCTGCGGGCGCGGCGCACGGGGCGGGCGGCGGACACCGGCGTCGCGGCGATGGCCGAGCGGAGGCGTCGCGGCGACTCTTGGGCACAATGGCACACGGCGGCATGGGGACGGACGGTGGACGGCGGCGCGCGGGGGTGCGCTGGCGGGCGGAGGCGTCGTCGAGGTGGGGGCTTGGCGGAGAGACGGGAAGCACGATTTTTCCCCTGTAAATTTCCCGGTGGCTTGTCGCATCTCGTTCATCGTCGTTTTGTGCTTCTACCTGTTAATCTATCTGATGGTTTTCTTCTATCATTTGAGTTTTGGTGGAGTCCACAGACCGGACGCTCGACGAACAACGGCGACGAGGTAGTCGAGCAGGGCAGCAGCAGCCACACCGGCACGCGCAGCCCGCTGAACCGCTCCTGGCAGAGCAGCAAGCAGAGGACGGCACAGCCGGAGCACAGCGTCCGGTCCGCGCCCGCAGCCGCCGCCGCAGTCGATGCCGTGGTGAACTCGAGCGCCGCCGTATTCCGCTACGCGACCCACGTCTCGCCGTCGGAGTTGAAGATGCCGTCGCCGAGCAGGTCACGGAAGACGGTGTGCCAGAAGGGGGGTGGCCGCCGCCGCTCGCCGTCAACCGAAGCAACCCAGCCGCGCCCGCCGTCAACCTAAGCAACCCTGGGGAAGTGAGGAAGAGGGGTGGCCGCAGCCGCTCGCCTGCGCCGCCCTGCCCCGCCGCTTGCCTCCCCGCGTTCCCTGCCTCCGCCGTCGCCTCGCCTTGCCTCGCCGCCTCCGCTCTCCTCCCCGCGCTCGCTGCCTCCGCCGCCGCACTCGCTACCTCCGCCGTTGCCGGGAGGAGAGAGTGTGTGTGAGAGATAGAAGAGATAGAAGAGAGAGAGAGTATGACATCTGGTCCCACATTTTTTAATAAACAGAACGCTGACTGGACTGCCACGTGTATGCCACGTAATTTAAAACCACCGCGGATTGGATCGAGGGGGGTAATTCGTCCGGTTTGCATAGTTGGGGATGAAGAATATCCGGTTTTATAGTTTAGGGAGTAATTCGGACGACCACGATAGTTCGGGAGGCTAATTCGTACTTTTTCCTTATACTATTCGATTTGACACCATCAAATTCCAGGTGCGCGATGCCATATGGAACATGCCAATCCCGCCCAACACCCTGCTGCGCGGTTGCCGGCCGGAGGACGACGCCCTTCTCTGTGATCCGGCAGTTCGGCTACCTCCAACTAGCGAAAGCGCGGTGACGCGTCGAGGAACACGACACGGGCGGGGGCTAGCTGCTGCTACCTGCGCGCGAAGCTCCGAAGACGCAGCCATGCTGATCACTCCACTTAAAAAAATGCCGTAGCCGACGACCCGACGTGCTGATCAGGAAAGGTTTCGCGCAAGTTCAGAGAACCAAGGTGGTGGCGATATGCAGATCGGGTCAATTCATACAATTCGCTTCACGTGCGCGTTCCTTTCATCAATCCGCGATTACCTTTTGCCTCATCTTTCCATCACCCGGTGGCAGCCGACTAGCAGAAACCTTTTGGGTGGGTTTGGTCTGGGGTGTGTTGGGTACTTGAGTTACTGCAGCTCGCACGGCTTAGTACGAGCACTTTGCGTGCGCCTAAACCATGTTTTATTGTATTTGACCTGACATTCCTGGTCAATTTAAACAGGCCAGCAGCACACGTACGAGTTTAAGGAGGGGCCAGCACAAAAGTGATAGCTGCCTTTGGTCATCAACGTTATAAAGGTCATAACTAATTCATAAGTCATAACAGTGAACTATTGATCTTTTAATTAGGTGTTAGGATTAGTGATGTTCTCCTCAAAAAAGATTAATGCTGTTGAAAGATTAGTGGGTAGGTGGTCTGCTCTCCTGCGTTAAGATTTCTCTATATTACCAATAGTAGTGAATAGCCCACGAATACCACATGCAAATTTGAATTATGAAGATACATGTCTATTCATTACATATTCAGTGTACCTATAGTTATTTAAAAAATAATTGTATTTGTCTTATTAATAATCTAACTAATGCATGCATATATACCATCACAAATTGGAAGCGGCAAAAAATAGCATTTCCACAATTATATGGGCATTCACCTATGTGGGGTTGGATTATAACAGCTTGGATTGAAAAAGAATCCACAGATTTTATGACATGTTCATATTAATTTCAAATCTTAGAGTTACATTAATTAATAAGTACTCCCTCCATTTAATATTATAAGTCACTTTGATTTTTGTAAAGTTAAACTTCTTAAAAGTTGACCAAGTTTATAGTAAAAATATAGTAACACTTGTGGCACCGAATTATTTACATTGAATTTAACATTGAATATATATTTTGATAGTTGTTTTCTTTGTGTTGAATATATTACTATATTGTTTTATAACTTTGGTTGGACATTAATGGTTTGATTAAAAAAAATCAAAACAACTTCTATGATATGAAACAGAGGTAGTACTACTAAATTGAGAGTGCAAGATGAGCTCATCAAATCATCAATTAAACATCACCTACGACTTGCTAAATACTAATTCTGAATTTAAAGTGTGATTAATTGATAAAAATACTAAAATAAAAATGAAATTCAAAGAGTGAAAATTGATATTTATATTAATTTAAAGTTTGAGATTACTAAGTTGCAGTAGAAAATAATAATTAAGACACATATTGGATATAACATTTTATTGCAAATTTTAGGATCATTAGGTGCTTGGCGCGGCTGGCCAAAGCCAAAGCCAAAAATAATATGTACTGAAAATAATATGTTATTTCCATGCAAACTGTGCAATTAGTTTTTTGTTTTTATCTATATTTAATGCTCCATGCATGTGTTTAAAGATTCGATGTGACATTTCTGGGAAAAAAATTGGGAACTAAGGCCTGGTTTAGTTTCCAAATTTTTTTTTCCCAAAACATCACATCAAATATGAAATATTACATATAGATTTTTAAAAAACTAATTGCACAGTTGCAGGGAGAAATCGCGAGATGAATCTTTTGAGCCTAATTAGTCCATGATTAGCCATAAGTGATATAGTAACACACATGTGCTAATGACGGATTAATTAGGCAAGATTCGTCTCGTGGTTTCCAGACGAGTTATGAAATTAGTTTTTGCATTCGTGAGAAAAACCCCTTTCAACATCCGGTCAAACATCGACACCCTAAAATTTTCTTTTTTTAACTAAACATGCCCTAAACCAGGCCTTAGCAGTGTAACCGGACTCCGCTACGGTGCCTGTGTTGACATGGACTATTGACGTGTCCAACCATTTGGCTGCCTCCGAGCCCTCTCACAGTCTCACTGTTAGAAGTGGGCGTATCTAGTTATAAACGTTTAGGGTGCTAATAATGGGGTAGTTATGTGATAATTTTATTTGTTATTGATGTAGCTTAGGGAAATGTGTCAGCTAGAGCCAACTATGAACATATAACTCATATTAGAGTTAATATATCGTAAGGTTATCTCTATTTTTCTTCTAATAGAAATGGAGAGGTCATACCCTTTTAATAAAAAAAAGCTCTATTTTTCTTCTCCTTTCTTTATCTCTCACGGTCTCACCTATGTATTTAATGTATTTATTTTTCTATGTACTACTCCCTCCGTCCCAAAATATAAGAGATTTTAGTGGGATGTGATATTCATAGTACTAGGATGTGTCATATTCCACCAAAATCCTTTATATTATGTGACGGAGGGAGTAGCTTTTATATGAAAGCTAACCCTCTTCATTTTTTAAATTCTCTCCTTTACATAAATTTCTAGTTAGCTTTTGTGTTTAGTTCACGCCAAAATTGGAAGTTTAGTTGAAATTGGAACGATGTGACGGAAAGTTTGGAAGTTTATGTGTGGAGGAAAATTTTGATGTGATGAAAAAGTTGAAAGTTTGAAGAAAAAATTTGGAACTAAACAAGGGCATATTTTAACTTGCTCTAATGCTGCAGCAAAATGATAGTTTTGTCTTTAAAATTAAAGTTCTTTAAAAAACTACTTATTTATTTAGCCTGGATTATATTATACAAAGTTTATATTATACAAAGAATGCAATAGGAAAATAGCCGTGCCGATGCAACGGAATATCAAGGTTGATATGGTTCCTCTTGCAAGTAGCGGAAAATATAATATGTTAGTCATAGTACAATGATTTAGAATTTTGTTATTAGGAACGATGGAACTTGTTCTTGCGTAGAATATATACTGAAAGATGCCATTATAAAATTTATTAGGACGAATAAAGTATAAGAATAGAGATAGACGTACATCGGAAAAATCAGGGCCCATACAACGCTGCACCTAATCTATCATTAAGATTCACTAGTTAAGCACATCAACTGGCCACCTAATCATGACAAATGTGCGCACTGCATTTCTTCTTTTTTTTAATATGCTTTCAGTACAAACCCTAGATATGAATGTGGACATGATGTATGTCCAGATTCATACCCAAGGTTTACCTTTTTTTTTTGGGACGGAGGGAGTATATCATAAGTAGAACTCGTACCAAATGACACCAAAAGTTCCAGCAAAATGTCGACTAGTTATCATGTATCTTCAACAGTAGCCATCCAAATAAAACATAATGCATCAAAACTTTGGCTGAAAACAATATGTTATTACTCCTTAATTAATCGCCATTTTATGCTAAAATACTAGTGACGATACTGTGTTAACAAAGGGATAAGACCGGCACGGCGTCGGTGTGAAGTAGCAAAGCCGGTGGCAGGTTCTTGATAATAAAAGCACGACGCTTTTGTAGTCGTCCCCGTATCAATCGCCAGGGTGTCACTGGATGCTGCACTGACAATACTGTTAGGTACAGCAATTAGAGGAGGAGATCACGCATGTACCCTACTGAAAAAAAGAAAAACAAAAGAACCTGAACGCTTTTCTTTTATAGCGAAAGTTTACTAGCTCCAGTCTAGAAGCATGGAACCGGCGGTTGCTCTGCGGAAGCTAGCGACGAAGGCACAATGCGGTACAGGAGAGGCGCCGGGAGTAAATGGGCAAGCAGGCAGCGAGAGAGAGCCGTTAGCAGTATCAAATGCGTCCCTGCGCTGCCGTGACAGGGAGGGGACACATGCATCTGGGGCTAGCAAGCAGACTGCCGATCGAGCGTGGCGTGGGGGGACCCAACCCGATCGATGGATCAACCCCTCGGTTTTTTTTCTGTCATCTGCGTGTCGGCGTGGGGCATCCACCATTCCACCAATCAAAGTCGCGAGCTCATCTCTCTCTCTCTCTCTCGTCTCATCGGCTCATCGCGCGGTCCTGCCGCCGTGCCGCTCACTTGGACGAACTCGATCGCCCACCGTTTCGAGCGAAACCGAGCGCCGCACCCGCACGAACGCACGCGCGCGGGTGCTGATCCGGTCCCGTCCCATCCGCCTCTCCACGGCTTGGTTTCACGTGGGCTCCCCGGACCCGGAGAGGTTGCTAGCTAGGATTTGGTTTGAGACGGAACCAAATTCATGTACTCCCTCCACAGTCTGCAGAAACAGCTTCGGATTAGTTGAGTCTGAGTGCCTCACAGATGATGCATTAGCAGGTCCATGTTTGAGGGGGAGGGCAACGGCTCAACCTAAATCCGAATAGTCTCGTCACTAAGAGTGGGTTTAGCAGGGACCAAACCAACTGATCTATCATCCACCTTTGTATTTTTGCCGGTGTAGTTAGCACGTAACTGGGGTGGCGATGGAGCATGACACGAACCAAAAAGGATGGGTGCTCACATCACATTCGACACAAAATACTTTTAGAACGAGGTATCCATCAGTGTGCTTCTAGAAGGCCGGAGTTAATTAAGTTTAGCAAGAACCCTTGTGCATGTCACTGGGAGTGACAGGGTAAATTAAGCTCACGAAGTGACAGGGTGATAAGTGACATGGACGTCGCACAAGTGCAGAACAGACCGGCCAGTAGGGGATTAGGTCCCGTGTCCCTTTGTGTAGGCCTATAAATGGTGCGCGAATTGCGTATGGGTTTGGGGGGCAATCGGTCCAGCCCGGTCTAAGTTTCGCCCGAGATTGCGAAAGATCAACAGTCCAACCGGCGACCGGTCGATTGCTTGCGCAGCGCGCTCGGAGCAACTTTGGGTTGGGTCCAGATTAGAGAAACACTTTCGATCATTCCATCGATCGGCGACGTGCAACCAACCTCGCATGCACGTCGCAGGTCCATCTCTCCCTAAAGCGACCGCACAGGGAAGGGACATTTGTTCTTTTGCTATGCGGCATTTAATGTCCGACTAAGACTTCCAGGACTCCAGGTGATAAGTGTAAATCAGTTAATTAGTGTCCCATTGGATTGGCTATCATCGACTATAGATTCGTTTAATTAGAGCAAGTTTAATATAATAGCCCACTACTAGCTCCAATTTATTTATAGCCAATTAATACAATAGTTGCTTACTGTACTATTAATATATGGTCCCACCTATCATACATACATTACGTCTTGGAGTCCGTGCTGCAGCTGGCTACAGATATGTAGTCCGCTGCTCTTCTCTCTCATCTTTTATCTCATTAAAATATGTTTATAGCTGGCTAATAGCCTGCTATTGTACCTGCTATTAGGTGTAATGAAACTTCTTGTTTGATTTTTCAAAAGGAAAATACTAGTAAATCACTTGTCAGGCAGTAGTGGTAAATACTACTATAACGGAAGAAAGTGGAGGCCGTATCTGAAACCAAACGCATGCATGTGTCACGGCGTTGCCACCAAAGTTGGACGGAAATAGATACTAGCACTGACGTACTCCAACACTTTTGCTTTTATCACTTTTTGGTTTATACCTATGTGCACAAATTTGTCATAAATCGAGTAAGTGCAACCTACGAGGGCCATGTGCCGAAGCCGGAGGGAGACGGCGATGCCGTAAGGCCATTTACTGATGTGTCATTCTCCCTCGCCATTCCACATCGGCAAAGCAGGAGGGCACACGCCACGTCTACTTCTAGGCCCACCAGAATAAGGTTCGAGTGTCCAAAGATGGCCATTGGTTCTTGGCGAAAAAGAGGACGAATGAAGCTGGGAGACGACGCTGCTTTCGCGTCGTGGAGCGAGTGGCATCGCCCTCCTTCCCATGCCAGCCGTCGCCCTCCAGCCAGCCGCCTAGCCCGCCGTCGCTGTCCGCAGCCGTCGAGCTCGTTCTCGTCCCTGCCATCGGAGCTCGCCGGCCACACCACCCCCGATCCGCTCAACCCGAAGCTCGCCGGCCACTCCGTCGCTCGATTCACGCCGGTCGGAGGAGAGCCAGAGGAGAGGGGTCGCCGCCGTGGGAGCCGAGGTCGCCGGCCGCGCCGCCCTTGCAGGGCCGGAAGAGGAGGAGGAGGGGAGGCGCTCGAGCCTCCGGTTGCGAGTGGCATTGGAGTGAGCGGCGCCAGCGGTCGTGGGGGACAGGAAGGGCGTGTCGCCTCCGCGTCGCTCGGAGCTCGCTGGCCGCTCCGAGGTCGCCCCGTACCGCCAGATCCGCGTTGCCGGCCTGAGGAGGAGGGCAGCGCGGCGACGACCATGGTGGCGGCGACGAAACTACGGCCGCAGCCATCCTCGCGCCGCGCCCGGACGAGCCGTCGCCACTGGATCTGGCGAGCTGCCACGCCGTCGTCGAGACTCGTCGCTGCCACGCCGTCTTCGAGACTCGTCCCCGCCATGCGAGAGGAGGGGAGGCCAAGAAGTTCGCCACCGTCGAGCGCCAAGCCCGCCGCCCCGCCAAGACCGCCGCCGCCGTCGCCTCCTTGCTGCCGAGTGAGTGGCCTCCATGCCAAGACCGCCGCCGTCGTCTCCTCCTTGCCGCCACCGCCGTCGTCCCCAGATCCACCGACGCTCCGCCCGGCCACCCCAGCGCCGTCTCCGCTCGCCACTGCTCCGCCCGGCCCCGTCGCCGTCGAGGCCGCCGCTCCGCTCGAACGCCTCAGTGCCGGCTCCGCTCGAGCGTGAGAGAGGGGAAGGAGCAACGTTGGGCTCGAGGAAAGGGAGAGAGAGAGAGCGGAAAGGTGGAGAAAAAAAAAGGAAAACTATATTTTTGTGAACCCCACTTGAGGTACTGCATTGTGAAGCTTGTGCCTCTTAGTGTTCCTCAGCATATGTGGCAGCTCAGGTCCGGCATTTTAGGTGACGCATTGCTATTGCCCTAAAAGACGACGTGCCATTGCTGCTGTGTCGCTGGCCTGGCGGAGGAAGCCAACAAGTCCTGATGAGTCTGGCACCAAATTCAATGTACAGTACTAGTAGTACGTGCCAGGTGCAACTTGCTAATAATAAATCGCTTAATCGAGCATGCGCAACGGCACGGCGAGACGAGACGGACGCGCAGCTGCAGAGGTCGTGCGCCACATGCATGCACGTTGCAACCGCGATTATTTTGTGGCGTGCTATTCGATGTAGTTTTCCGTGCTACTCCTATATTTGTTGGAGAAATAGGGACGTTACCCGTGCTACGAGTCGTTCTGGAAGAACTGTTCTCGGTGGATGGAGCCATGGAGGCCAGCTAGCTGCAGACGCAGCTGGCTCTTCCGTTCACCTGGAGAGCATGCACCAAGAGGCACCCTTCCTATACTTGCTAGTCTACCCAGGTGAGCTGTGACGTTACACGTAACAGCTCCGAAGTTTGCAATTTTGAGCGTTGCTGTGTTTGAGTTCCTTCCAATCGAGCAACCACGTTATATCGCCTCTAGTCTTACGATCCATAGGAATTAATGGGAGGCGTGAAAGTGGCCTGTCCTTGTATACTCTGTTGACTTGCTATATGTGCACTTCTCCAATTTGTGCGTCCTCTTGTTTCAGCCAGCTAGCTCCGCTGCTCCGACGTCGTTGGGCAACCGAAAAGAAAGTTGCAGTCGAAGAAGAGATCTCGCAGAAGAACGGCAGGATCTCATGCCGGACTGGAACGTACCGAGGACGAGGGACAGAACAGATATTGGGGACTCCTGTAGCGGAAACTCTAAATGCGCGATCGATCGCGGCTGCGATCGGATAGCGATCACCACCCCTCCCCCCTCCATCCCTACACGTTTCCTTTTTTTTTTCACCGCATTAATTTTTTATTTTAGTAAATTTATGCACATAAAGTTTATACACCTAAAGTTTATAGACCCAAAGTTTATAAATTAAAAGTTTATATATCCGATTCAAATTTAAATTTGAATTCAAATATTTTTTATATATAGTATTTCTATACATCTAAAGTTTATACACCTAAAGTTTATAGACCCAAAGTTTATAAATCAAAAGTTTATATACCCGATTCAAATTTGAATTTGAATTCAAATATTTTTTATATATAGTATTTAGATACATCTAAAGTTTATACACCTAAAGTTTATAGACCCAAAGTTTATAAGTCAAAAGTTTACATACCCAATTCAAATTTGAATTTGAATTATATCCAATTCAAATTTGAATTTGAATTCAAATATTTTTATATATAGTATTTCTATACATCTAAAGTTTATACACCCAAAGTTTATAAGTCAAAAGTTTACATACCCAATTCAAATTTGAATTTGAATTATATCCAATTCAAATTTGAATTTGAATTCAAATATTAGTTTATAGACCCAAAGTTTATAAGTCAAAAATTTACATAACCGTTTCAATTCTAAATTTAAATTTAAATATTTATGATGTAGTAGGAAAAGAAAAAGGGAAGGAGGAAGGGGGAGAGGAGGGAGCGACGATATAGGGGAGGGGCGGAGAGCGATCACCCGCCCATTAGGCGTACCCGTCCTATAGTCCTGTAGAGAAAGATGGAAAAGACCAAGGCCGAAACGGCCCGGCATAAAACACACACCGGTATAATCTGATCCAATAAGGAATAAGTCCACTCGCCATCTCTTAACTTTGCGTTGAGTTTGTTTGACATCTTTGTCTCCAATAACAAAAATTTTCACCTCTAAACTATATAAAATCGTGTAATTTAGGGTCTCGTAGTAGTATAAATGTCTGATTTCACTGACGTGGCATCCTAGTCAGCAAATAAAAAGTAAAAAAAATGTGGGAACCACACATAAGTGAGGAGAAAAATTGTGGGACCTGTGTGTCAGCGCCATCTTCTTTCTACTATTTTCTTCCCAACCACACACAGTGCTTGGGTGTTGGCCGTGAGGAAGGCAACCGATCAGTCTGGGATGGAGGGAGGCAGTCGGCGAGCCTAGGAAGGAGAGGGAGGGGGAGGCGGCCGGTGAGCCCGTCCGAGCTTAAGCTTACTTGGCCTTTGTCAGAGGGGAGGCTCAACTCGTTGTTGCCCCCTGTCCCCTTGGTTCCCCGTCGACATGTAGGAGGAAACCATAGATGGAGAACGTCCCTGACCAGGACACGGACACCGATGGCCACATCGGAGCCACTCGTCCATAGGAGGAGACAACAATGTGGGATGTCAGCAACGAGGGGCTTCGATGATCTTCTCCCACGGATCCTCCTCTACAACAGCTTTTACCATTGATTTGGTCGCCGTGTGTGGGAACACCCAATTTAGGCTTGGTGCCCCAAAAATCCACTCGTGATCGTTCAGGATTTCGATCACGCATAGATTGATATACAGAACAGCTTTCGATTATTTACACAGGTTTGTTCATACAAGCTAATTATACAACTGTTAAAGGGTGAAAAGATCCAAACTAAAATATCCTTATTTGAAATACAAGAAAATCCAAAGTACTAAACTCCTAAACTTCTTCAACTACTAGAACTACAATTAATAAATTCCAAAGAACTTCAAAGAACTCCACAGGCAAAAACTCGAGTGTAGACTAGCCTAGAAAAACTCGTTCTTGTCGTAGATCTCGCTTCCTTCTGATCTCCTTATTAGCACGTTTCCTCTATATGTCAAATTATGCAAGGGTGAGTACATATGTACTCAGCAAGACATATTATAAATAATTAAAGATGAATAGATATGAATAAATAAACAATAATAAAGTAAAGGAGTAATGAAAACCATAAATCATCTTTATCCTCAACAATTTAATTTTTAAAACTACTTATACTTCAGGAGTAGGAATCACCCTAATGGCACAACTCCAGAACCGGGAGTACGGCACATTCGAATGATTTAATTCACCTCTGCAGAGACTGTCCAGTTTTACCCGCACGATGTCAACAGTTTGCAAGGCTGAGGACAACATAGCCGTTCGAGAGTCCCACTTACTACTAGTTACTGCACAGTGGGGTCTTGGTTCATCATAGTGGTCGAACTCTTGCTAGGCCTAGGCAAGGTATCTATATCGTCACACTTTCATGAATCCCACTGTTGTGAAACACTGCCGCCCAAACTCCTTACGTAAGTTCACCCCAAAACCGCTCATAGAGCCACCCAATAGTCTTTCATATAATGGGACAATATACTAGGCTAAGTCAAATTACTTGGTTGTGTGGATGGACGCAACTATATCATTTCCCATGGTATAAGGGGGTAATTATAATCCGGTTAAACCACCCAAAAACTTTCCAAACTCCCCACACCAGCATCACAAACTTCATCAACATTCATAATCACAACATTCATAATCTCAACTCATAAATGCCCATTTTAACCGGATTCCTAAGTTTGTAAAGTTATTTGGAATAGTAAATTACATAAAATGATAACCAATGCTTCTTTCTATGTTCTCATGCAATCATGCTTAAAAGCATTTAACATCTACCCATGAGATGTTAAAAGAGTAAGGTATTATGCATCAAATTAAATATGAAGATCATATAAAGTTTTCTATATGATCAAAATTTTAATTATGTCTTGCCTTGTGCCTTAATATTTCCCGTGGCTTCAGCGTAGCCATCTGGGTCCACGTCAGCTCCTTGGATGCCGATAGAACTTCTTGTATGGTCTAACGTACGAATACGAAAAGATAGCAAATAAAGCCTATAAGCAAATTGCTACAAAGAAACGATAAAGTCAAGGAATAAATAAAATTGGAGCGAGGCGAAAGGAAAAAGGGAATGGGTTCAAAATAAATTTTAGATTGAAAATAAAAGAGAGGTGATGGTTTCTATAGGTTGGAAATCGAATAAAATTGAGGAAAGGATAAAATGGAGAGGTGAGGTTTATTTGGTGGATTGGTTTCTAGTCGGTGCTAGGGTAGGGTAGCACGACGGCTAGATATTTGGAGTTGGTTAGCCGATGCTAAGGCATAACAGCTAATTATTGGCTCGTCTAGTCGATGCTACAGTTAAGCAGCACAATGGCTAGAGAGTTGAGAAGTTTGTGCAGGTTTGCAGGGTGGAATAGTGTTACCCTACAGCCGTGAGTGGCAGCAGAGCGGCTTGAATCGCACAGAGCCTGAAAGCTAGTGTGCGACGTGCTATGGAGGTTGAGGGAGTAGTGAGGCTCTGACCACTATACACGTCGAGGCGTGGGGTGCGAAGAGCAACACTTCGACCTTAAGATTAGGTGATGCCGGGTTTTACGACCAACGGTTCGATGTCGGGGTTTGAGATCATGCGAACGTCTCCATGGAAGGCGTAAAGTTCCCACGGCGGCTATTTGGTAGCTAAGGATGGTACATAGATGGTTTAAAAAATAAATTAATGGAATTTGAATTCAAAAATAGATTAAAATTTAAAATGGTATTTTAAAATAAAGAAAAGGGCATTTAATGAAATTAAAGGATAATTTAAAGTTTTTAAATAAAAAAAGAAAATTAAAATTTAAGGGATGTAAAGGTATTTGAATAAAATAATTTTTAAAGGTTAATTAAAATAGTTTAAAATTAGAAATTAAATAAATAAATAAATAAGAAAAGGTATTTAAATAAAGAAAATTAAATAAAAATTTAAAAATAGAAAATTTGGTATCAAAAGAGAGGGTTTAAAATTAGATGAATTTAGGTCAAATAATTTTTGGAATTGGGTCAATGGTTGGAGAGATATGGGCTCCTAAAGATTAAAAATCAAATAAAAGAAAAAGGAAGTTACTGTGCAGTGGGCCCCGCTGTCAGTGTCTTCTCCTTTCTCGTTTTCTTCTTCCTTCCTGCTTCCTAGGAGGGGTGGTGGCTGGTAGAGATGAAGGGTAAGATGGCCGGAACGGCGAAGATAATGCGTGGTCCGGTCAGGAGAAAGAGAGCTTCGGTGTGGCTGGATTCAAGAGGAAAAGGCAGGGGAAAACGGGTAAAATGGATTCGCCGGAGTGAGGAGAAGCTAGTGGTGCAAGGGAATTGGAAGAGAGGCTACGGGGGAGGAGATCGGCCAGTGACTTGGTGGTGACCATTCATGGTGGAGAGAGAGAGAGGGAGATCGAAGCTCGGATGGGGCAAAAACAGAAGGGATGGCCTCGCCTTTTATAGGCCGGAGAGGCGGTGGAGGAAGGATGGCCGGCGACGGCACGGCTCATCGTCGAGAAAAAGGCGGCGACGCGTGTCGGCGTTTAATTTGCTGTAATGGCGGCTCGGTGGTCGGCAACGGCTCGCGGCGGCGCGTGGCGGAAGCGGATTGGTGCGGCAAGGTGGCGGCGGCGGATTGGCTTGGCGGCGGAGGAGGAAAGGCACGGGACGGCGTCGACGGCGGCGCATTGGGAAGGGGCGAGCGGTGGCGGCGCCCATCGAGAGAGAGAGGAAGGAGGCGGCTCGGCGGGCTTCGGCTCAGTTGGGCTGGCAGCCCAAGAAGGAGGGAGGAAAAGAAAAGGGGAATGGGCCAAAAGAAAGGGAAATTGGCCCAAAATAAAAAGGAAGTTTGATAATTTTGTATAGAGGATTTGGAATGGAGGAATTTAAAGGAGATGAAAATTAAAGGATAGATGGATGTGGACTTTTTGAATCTTGGTCAAGGAATTTGAATAGGATTCAAAGGAATTGAAAACTAGGAAAATTTTGAATGGAAGGCTTTAAATAGATTTTAAAGGAGATAAAATTTAAAAGAGGGATGTTTGAGGGTCTTTTGAACTTTTATAAAAGGAATTTGAATATAAGGTTTTTGAAGCAAAAGGGGGATTGAAATATTTTTAAAATAAAATCAAAGATATTTATTTTGAGATATAAAATTTGATAAGGGGTAAAAATAAAGATGCTCCAATTTTATAAAATTCAATAAGAACCAAATATAAAACTTGTCAAAAAATAATCAAATGGGAAGGAAAAGCAATAACTTAATTTCTAACTTTGGATGAATTTGGGATGGTGGCAAAAATAGATGGAGGTAAATAACTAGGATTTTAGCCTCCAAAATATGTGGTATGGATTCTCAGTGAATTATTTGTGGCTAAAGGAAATTTATATTGTCTGAATGAAAAGGATTGGAAATAGGTTTCTTCGCACAAGAGCAATCACTCTAAATATTGTGATAATATTATTCTTGTGCCGAGGAGGAAATCAAGCCATAAGAATTAAATTGGTGGCTTGATTAAAATAGGAGAGTTTGGGAATATTAAAGGGGTTTATGAAAGGTATTGTATAAAGAAGAAAAATGGGGATTTCAAAGGGGAAATATTTGTGGGAGTGTAGAACTGGATTCAGAAGTATATGTGGATGTGAATTTCTACAGGAACGAAATTTGTGGTAGATTGATATTCTTCTAAAGGATAGGTATATTGACTCAGGGAGATTGAAAAGGATATTTTATGGACTAAGGGAATATTTAGGTGGAGATCCAAAGGAAAAGTATTGGTTCTGGGAAAAAAATAAAAATTGGTATTTCATGTGTTTGGTTAGAGATCAAAAGGGGAGTATTTGGTGGGAGATAAAACTAGATTTGATGGTAGTGTGGTAAGCTCTAAATGAAAAGGTATTAACTCTAAAGAGATTGATATTTCATGTGCTCTAGAGATGGTTGAGCGAAAATTAAAAGGGTTTTGTTCGGTAAAGGAGTCAAAGGAAATATAATCTAGAGCCAAAGTTAGAGATTAAATAAAATAAATAGAAAGGTTTTGTAAAATTAAAAAGGGATTTTAAAGAAAGCTTTTAACTTAGCAAATAAAGTTTAGACTCAAGTCAAAGAAAAGATCAAAAGTGAAATTACTGAAAGGAAGAATCGAGAAGAGCATGACTTAAAATATTTCGCAAAAAATTTTCCCTAAAAATTTAAGTCCATTACATCGTGGTACGGCGAGCCGGCCGCCCGGTGGGGGGGGGGGGGGAGGAGGGAGGAGGGGATGGGATGGTGGTGGGGTTGGGGATGTCAAGGGGCGGTGTGTTGCTTATGACATGCTCGTGGTAGGACGAAGGAGGGACCCAACTCGGTGACAATGGAGAAGACCTCTGGGTTCTCTACTGGGGTCGTTGGGGGTGTACTGGCAACGATAACTGCTCAATGTCATACCCGTCTCAGTTGGTTTGTCCGCTGCAGGGGTCTTTTCTTTGTGGGCGTCGTCTCACCACAACGGCGTGGCGGTGGTACGATGAGCCGACGTAGAGGAGCATCGGCAGCGCGTCGCCTTCCTTCTCCTTATCTTCCAACTCTTCCGCCAAGTGAGATCCCCCACATTTTTTCTTCTCATTTACATGTGGACTCTATATTTTTTTTCTTTTTGCTGACTAGGATGAAACATCAGCGAAACCAGATATTCGTATTGCTATGGTATTCAAATTGCACGGCTTTGTATAGTTTAGGGTAAAGATTGCTGGTATCAGAGATAACGAATGTCAAACAAACTTGAGCAAAGTTGAGGGATTGCAAGTGAACTTATTCCATCCAATAAAGACTTGTTTGTGGACTTTCCAAACTGGCCCAATTTAAGGCCCAAAACTATGAGGTTCTCATATTTCCTGGGCTTCCCAGTTCTCAAATGCTCAAGAAGTAACGATGCCCTGACAAGTGACAAATGCCCATTGAGCAGGTACCGCGTTGCGAATTTTTTTTATTTCTAATTTTTTTTATTAAAAGTTTTACAAAAATAATTTTCCATTTTGAAAATTGACGGAAGTAGTCGCCTACCGCCCTCTGGGAGGGCGATTTTTAAAAATCGCCATCCCAGATGGCGGCGAAAATGACGTGGCAGACGGCCGTTCGCTCTCGGGCGACGGCTGTCAACGAAATTTGCAGGCGGCCCCCTTGCCGCCCTCCGCTAGGGCGATTTTGTACTGTGCGGGGGGCCGCCTGCAAATGGGCGGCGAGGGGGCATGGAATTTTGCAGGCGGCCCCCTTGCCGCCCTGGGGGAGGGCGATTTTTGCCTCCCCCCTATAAAGCCCAGTCCCCCCTCTCTGAAATTTCATTATATTCACTAAAAATCCAAAAAAAAACGAAAGAGAGAGAGGAGAGGGCAGCAGAAGGGGAGCGGCGAAGCCCTGCTGGTTCGCTCACTTCATCACAGGTTTGCTCCCATATATCTTTTGCATTTGTACTAATATGTTATGTTTGAGTATATATGTTGCGTTTTAGTTTTAGTTCCATATATTTTAGCATATCTGTAGCACACAGCACATATGTGTAGATCCAGAGCATAGAATATAATAGTATGAATTGAGACATAGACAGTAGTGTTAATTGTAAGATGTAGTTTAGTTTGATCTGGAGAATGTAACCTACTTTTAGAATTTTGGAGAACAATATTGTAGAGAATGTAACTTAGGGCGTAGTACAGAAATGCGAGGTTAACGCAGTTATTGTTTTCATCAGGCACAATGTCAAATAAGGTCACATTTCAGATAGTTCACGGTGAAGGAAATATTAGATTTGGTCCAGATGGTGTTGATCTGTCAGATTTTGTAATGACATCTAAGGGTATCGATAGGCCTGTGGAGAAAACATTTCAGTCAATTTATAGTTGGTTGTTGAGAGGATTTAGAATAGACCAAGAAGTCTACACAATGTCAGTATCAGTTGTAGTGAGTCGTGCAACAGAAGGTTATTTTTGGGAACTAATGCCGATGGACAGCACTGCTGCTTGGAGACGGTATGTGAAAATGGCTTTTGAACGGTCATGGCCCCTCGTTATATTTGTGTCGGTACAAGAGAAAGATATAAATGTTTCAATGCAAACCGAAGATGTAGAGGGTCCTATCAATGCAAGGGATGTTGTTGGACCATCGATGCAAAATGAGAAAAATCAACCAAGGGAGGAGCAGGCCATGGGCATGGCGGATGAGGGGGAGAGAGTCGGTATAATTGTTGATGAAATGGAGAGGGAAGATTCGGATAATGAGGAAGCGAACGACGACGCATCATCCGATGAGGAAGGTGATGTAATGGCCACTGATTGGGCAAATGAGGACTTCTCTGGACTTGTTATATCAGAGGGTGATCATGTACCCTGGGAGTATAAGGAGAACGAGGTAATTGAGGGTGCAAGGTATGCTCATAAGGATGAGATGAAGGAGGCGGTGAAGCATTGGGCAGTTTCCTTGCAGAGAGAGTTTAGGGTGGTCAAGTCAACAAATTATGTGTATGAAGTGAGGTGCATGAAGGAAGATTGTCCGTGGCGTGTCCATGCATATAAGGGTAAATGGAATGATTATTGGAAAGTTAGCATTGTGACCGAGCACAAGTGCTACTTACAAGGGGTGGAGAAGTATCACCGAAACATCACTTCAGCTTTTGTGGTAAGTGAGATGTACAGCAGTGTTGTTGGTAACATTGGCTTTGAACCAAAATCAATTATTAGGCACATCGAGAATAAATTCAAGTACACCATAAGCTATGCAAAGGCCTGGAGAGCCAAACAAAAGATTATTGAGATGAGGTATGGCACATTTGAAGCTTCTTATGATAATTTGCCTCGTTTGTTAGCCACCATTGCCCAGAGGAATAATAATACTTACTATGACCTACATACATTTACATCGGTTGATGATCGAACAAAGAGTGTGCTGCAAAGAGCCTTTTTCTCATTGGGTGCTTGCATCAATGCTTTTGTGCATTGTCGACCTGTTCTATGCATAGATGGAACTTTTATGACAGGTAAATACCAAGGTCAGATATTGACAGCAATTGGGTGTGATGGGAACAACCAGGTTCTACCTATGGCTTTTGCATTTGTAGAGAGTGAGAACACTGAAAGCTGGTACTGGTTCCTAGAGAGAGTGCACATTGCAGTGGTGCGTATGAGGCCCAACGTTTGCCTTATACATGTTCGTCATGCGGGTATGTTGCGGGCTATTGACTACTTGCAGAACGGTTGGGATGAGAAGGGACTTCCAGCTAAGTGGCCCGATGTTCGGAGTCGGTGGTGCATGCGTCACATGGGTGCAAATTTCTACAAGCAATTCAAGAACAAGCATCTTATGGAGCTCTTTAAGAGGCTCTGTGCACAGAACCAAGAGAAGAAATTTAATGAGTTGTGGGACAAGTTGGATGAGTTGACAACGAAGCAAACAGATGAG